CCCCCGACTTAATTAAACGTATATATAATAAAATATATTAATTTAAAAAAATTAAAAAACTATTGGAGGTCGTTTTTGACATCAGAAACTAGCTTTAAATAACTTTATCGAAGTAAAATCCGTGCACTACTACTTTAGAACGATGAATGAAATTTGATAAAAAAAACTCCCATTAAAAAACAATTAAGCGTTAATCGTGCGTCATTAAAGGTATATTAAAATCGCAATGAAATATTTTCGCGCGGGAAAAAATTTTTGAAATAATTTGGAGACTTAACATTAAAAAAAAAAACAAAAATTTTTTCGGAGGGCCCAAATGCCCGAGTTTTATGTAACGCTATGGAACTTGCCCGAGTTATCTCGGGTTTTAAAGATTGCAGCATTACTTCTTGCCGCCTGCAGATGGCTGTGATTGGTCATCCATATTCAGCAAACGTGATCAACAATGCAGTTAAGGAGACAAATTCCCTGACTTTTTGACAAATTCCCTGACTTTTTGACAATTTTCGACAAATTCCCTGACTTTCCCTGACCTTTTCCAAACACTAATGAAAATCCCCGACTTTCCCTGATTTTCCCTGACTTTCCAGGTGCGTAGGAACCCTGTTTATAGCAGTAACAGAATGAACTAAAATCATGATATAATGTTTGACAAGGTAATGGAAACCATAAAAACAGTACAGTAAAACAAACTAAAGCTATAAAATCATTTAAAAAAATCATAGCCTTAAAAAGAATCCAACATATAAATAAAAATACAATCGTTAAATCTGTATGTATAATTATATTACACACACACACAAGCAAAATGATCTGTCACCACTGCAAAAAATCATGTAAATTAAAAAAAAAATTTGATTTACAATCATTTAAAAGTTTTGAAATTTTCAAATTGTAAATCAATTTTATTTTTTGAAATAAAATTAATTGAAAACTAAAACAATTTTAATTAATTTTGATTATATTTAATTGTAGTTTTACTTTCAGTTCAGTGTAAAGTATCTATCTAGTATGCTTTAATTTGTTGATATTTGCAGGTTTCAAACATTTGTTATTGTCAGGTTCCAACATTTTTTATTAAGATGAAAAGGGTTTCATGATAAAAATAAGTTGGGAACTTCTGCTCTATTGTATTATATATTCTGCATAACTTTATATACAAACTGTTACATTCTTAAGCTTGATACTCTATTAATTAAAACACAATTTGCATAAAACTTAATTATTCATCACATCTGTTTAGTACAAAAATAATGTCCCAACTGTTATCAAGTCTTGGCAGAGTGATTGTCTTGTGAGAAAAGTACTCATGCACTCCGTAGCAGTGTGTGCTACATCTACCAATCTACCAGCACAGTATTAACCCAAATGGTATGAGAATCAAACTTGTGTATTGTATAAGGAATGATTTTCCCACAAAAAAATCCAGATAATGTGCCAAACATCATCTGAAAATGCACAATTTTATATTTTGAAGACACATTACAGGATTTTTCAGAATCATCAAATTTAAGGAACTGTATTACATTAGAAAAATCAGCAGAAAGTCACTGCTTTATGCATAGATATTTTCTCATATCCAAATTAGGTGAAGTAGTTTCTCTTCATTTAAAAAAAAAGTTTTCAGAATTTAATTTTCAATTACTTTTTACAATGTTAATATAATACATCTTTAGAAAAAATATATTTCTTGCTATACTATGCATACAAGGCATTAACAAATCCACAGCGGAACAGACCTTTTATTATAAGCTACTTGTCTGCCATCAAATGTAAAAAAGCTAAAAAGTCCTCTAGCCAGTAGCAAACACAAGCATGTGAAAGGACAGGAGGATTTAAACTCATTTTTATGCATAGTATAGCAAGAAATTTATTTTTTCTAAATGTGAATTCATCCTGGCAAAATTTTTTAATATAATACATCTTATAAATTTATATAATACATTGTAAGATTGCAAGATAACAGTTGTTATTACATCTATATTTAAGAAAATAATTTTATTACAAGAAAACTTTTAAGGCTATTAATAGTTCAGGTTTAACTATGTTTGCAATCTCATCTTTTTTGACAGAACAATTCCAATAAATGGAACTGAAATACTGTATATGTTTGAATGAGTCAACTCATTGAAGAACAGAAGAAATTTCTATTTTAATCCAAAAGTTTATAAAATAAAATTTAAATTACTCACCAAATTAATATTCCACAGATAGCAGATAAAGATTTAAGGTTAAATTTAATAAAACAATTAAAGTTAAGACAAAATATTCAAATTATACTTACCTTGTATTGCTAAAAGATAATCTTCATGGAAAGTACCAGCATAGCTATCTACTGTACAACGATATACACCACCATTTGCAGTTCTCACTCCATTAATTATTACTATTGGACCGTGGAATCTTATATTATCAGGAAGAGGTCCTTCCTGCCGAAGTTTCGACCACAGTATCCGAGCAGACGGATCTCCAGTCACTTTGCAATGTATTCTCAATGTGTCTCCTAAATTAACTGGATCTTTATTTGTATCAATTTTGACTTCCAATGTTGGAATGGCTAAAAATTAAATTAAACAATTTCTAAGTGAATAAAATTAAAATTTATAAAATAATTTTTGTAAATATTGTTCAAATTTCAATATCAAAAATTTTCTTATTCAAAATTAATTTTGAATATATTATTATTACTAACAAAATTCAGATTTAGTATGATTATTTGCGAGGTAGAAAATGTTGGTTTTTTTATTCATCATTCATCTATTAGTATACCTCTATCTTTTAATCATGAAAAATCTGAATGTTTACAAGAGGTATATGGATATTGGAACACTGTTATTGGGACCAACCCCTTTTCCGTTCTTTATTACAATGCGTTTTGTCCAACCGATCGTGGCAATCAGGCAAAACATTGCATCGCTTGCTATTTTCGATGCAATTCCCATCACCACATGTAATCTGGTCAGTATTGCAATTTACTTCACCATCTAAAAATGAGATCAGTATAGTTAATAAAAGCAAATTAAAGCAAAAAAAGCTAGCAAATCAGAAAATTAATAAATATAAACTATAATTGTATTACTTTGTTAATTTGTAAATTTTAATTTAGTAAAACAAATCAGTTAAAAGCAAACTATATATTATTAAANTTTATATATATATATATCAAACCTTCATAAGAAATATTCACCAAACCATTTCAGCAGAAGTTGTTTAATCCTTACCATTGCACTTAACACTTAGGTCTTTGTATCTTGTTTATTTCCCAAAACCTCATCCTGTATGTTTTTTGCATTACAAGATAAAGTAGAAGCAGAATTACTTCAACTTAAATATTCTGGTATTACAAAAATCTATGCTAATGAGTGATGTTACAGGAGGCTAAGGGCAGGTGTTAGGAGGATAGGTGTTATAGGAGTAATCAAATGGATTACTCCTATAACACATATCCTTAAATAAAAGTAAGTAAAACTCCAATTTTTACTGTAATTTGAAAGTTATCAGCTAAAGAAGGAATCAACTAAAAGTGCTTTTAGTTGATTCCTTCTTTAGCTGATAACTTTCAAATTGCATAGGGGTGAAGAATTTTTTGTGTATGACTTAAGTGATGCATACTATCAATTCGAACTGGATGAATAAAGGAAAAATGTTGTTGTAATTAATATCCATTTATGGCTGTTTAGATGTAACAGATTATTCTATGATATCACTACAGCACTTTTTAAACATGCAGTTGGAAAACTGTTTTCCAGTGTTCCAATGACTAAACCATATTTTGATTATTATTTAGGTGATCAGAAGAGAGAGCATAATGAAAAATTCTAACTATTCACACTAATGAAGGAATTCATTTTATAAGAACAAATGCCATTTGACATGACAGCTTTTTTCCTCAAAACAACTTCTTTCCTATTAATATCCATTTTTTGATACAATGAAGCATCAAAACTGGAGACAGCTATGTTTTAACATAATTGTGATTAATCTTTAAATTGAATCTATTACAAAATCTTAGACCAAAAATTATGTAATGTTTATAATTATCATTGCAATCACAAGGTATAGTAAAACAGAAATGACTTACCACTATATCCACTTCTACATTCACAAGAATATTGGCCTGATCCTTCATTTGTGCAGATTCCATTATTTAGACATGGATTTCTATCACAAGGTGCTCCTCCTCCACAATCTTCAACATTGGATGAATCCACAAGAGAATTTACAAAATCAATTTCAACGGCATTAACTTCCATCTTAAAAAAAATCAACAGATAAATACATTACACTACTAAATAAATATCTGAAAGCTTATTAAATAGAAGATTTAACATTGATTGAATACATACATGAGCAATACATCCATCAAATCCATGATTAACTCCTGCTAATGGAGATACGGTCACTTTGGTTTTATCATAACCTCCAACATACAAAGGAAGACGTAGATCAAGACCTCTTGTATGACCAGGAGATGTACCTCGTACAGAAGTTCCATTATTAACAGTTAAGGATCCTTCACGATTGGTTCTTGTTGCTGTTATTGTTACCCACTGATCAGCATATAATTTTTCTGGACTTTTTAGTATAGCAGGTCCTTTTTAAAATAATCAAAAATATTCTTAGATATTATTTCTTAAATGAAATAAGATATAATAATATCAGTTTCTTACCAGAACCAGTATCAAATCGAAATTCTATACTTTTGTTAAGAACTGCCAGTGATACAAAATCACCATTTCCAAAAGCACTTTGAGCTGAATAGGATATTAAACCATCATCCAGTCTTCGTAATTTCACTTTCATATCCAATTTATTAAATTGCCCATTTATAGGATAAGCAGCATAAGCATCATTTGAAAATGCTGGCTCAATAATTAAGATCTCTAAAAGTTTGAGAGTAAATAAATGTATAAATTTTAATATTAAAAAATTTATGTATTTTTCTAAAACTGTTTTAAGAGTTTACCTTTTTCACACCGCAAGCCTGTTCGGCCATATGGACAATAACATTCAAATCCTCCAATTGGGTTATTGACACATCTTCCTTCCCCACACACACCTGGATAACAAGTTTCAGCAACATTCTCGCATCTAATTCCAGAAAATCCAGAAGGACAAATGCATTTGATTCCCATTTTCACTAAAGCTGGTTGGCAGACACCACCATGTTCACATGGATTTACTTTACATGTATCACATATTGTTACACCAATTTTTTCAGCTTCACGAAGTAAGTCATATTCTTTATCTTTAATTCTAAAATAGCTAATACAACCTGGAAAAATATGAGACTATTTCAGACAAAGTTCAATTTGAGATGAATTCAAATTTTATCAATAATTACATGCAGAGCTGCAGCATTTCAGTCTTTATCTACACATTTCAGATCAAACATTAGCCATTGTCTGATCTGATATGAATGATATTTTAAAATAAAACAAGGGAAACTGTTAAGATATGAAAAAGATTGTATAGGAACCTCTTTGTATCTTTTATATAGTTTCCAATAATTAAGATGATATGGTACAAGTATAATTACAGTAAATACAGAAATTTCAATGCAATAAACAGAAATTTCTAAAATCTTCAAATTTTAGCAAATCTTGGCATCATATTGCCATAAAATTACTTTTTTGTTTCTGGAAGCCAAAGTTTATTAGTATAAAATCTAATCTGGCCAATATTAGCTTGTAAATATAATGTTTGAAAAATGAAATATCCATTTGTACCAAAAGTTCCAGTTTTTAAATATTTGTATGTCTAAGCTGAAGTTGGTTTAGTATAGTCAAAAAACATTTATTTTATATTAATAAACTTTCAGAAATTATTAAAAGCTAAATATTCCAGATGTCAATATCATAATTTTCTTACGAATTTATTTAAAAAGTTTATCAAGCATAAAGGAATGAGTATGAATTGGTAGTATGAAGAGTAATCAATAGAATAAAAATGGAGATCATATGAACCCTCAATTTAAGATTTGTTGTTGATCTGAGTAAATATGATTCAAAGTATATCTCCTGCTAAGCATACCAGTTATGAACATAAAATCATCTACTTATAAATTACAAAAATTTTAATTAATTTAAAAATAGATAATGATATTTTATCTCAGGCTGGCCTATATTAAATATTTGATAGAAATGTTTTATAAACCATACCAATAAAACCTTGTTGAAATCCAGCTTGGCGTGAAATGGCTCTAAAATCCGGAACCCCACCAATGTAGAGAGGCTCGGCAAGATCCAATCCAACATTGTCACCTCCAGCAGAGCCATTTACTACCAAATAATCATTTATCTTCATGACTCCTAAATCAAAAATAAGCATTAATAAAATTTTAAAAATCTTATCTTTTCAAAAATTTATGATCTTACCCTTAATTTTATCTCTTGTGACAAGCACATTATACCAATTGCCTAATTCTACTTGTTCTGGACTACTAATTATTGCTGGACCAGACCCAAGCTCATATCTGAGTTGTATGTAACCATCAGATAAGCCAAATGAAACAAAATCTCCACCTCCACCAGACTGCTGCCCATTATACAAAATAAGACCTGAATAAAAAAATTGGAAGATTTTATTTTTTTTTAAATCTTGTTCATGTATGATGAATTAAGTTAATAAATAATGAATTTATTACCATCAAAGCTCTCTGGTTTAAATGAAATTTCAAATTCAAAATTTGTATAAGCTTCATGCATTGTATCTAACTTCATGTAAGATAAAGGAGCTTGAGTAAATAAAGGAATAACACCTGAAAAAAAATTTGTAAATCTTAAATTTGTTAAATTATTTGCAACAATTCATTATTTTTTTTTTACCTGTAACTACAATAATTGTTGGAATTTCTAAAGTAGCAACAGCACTTTTAGCAGTACAGATGTATGTTCCTGCATCTTCTGCCTGTATTTTCTGAATTGATAATATATTCCTATCGGTGAATGAATGAGGTGGCAAAGCACTGCCTTGTTTTGACCAAGTGTAAGCTACTGGAGGATCCAAATTTGTATTACAGGTAATATTTACATTGCGACCAAATGGTGCCATTCTGGTTTCCACTGCAAATGGTGGTATTGATGGAGGTACTATATTAAAAAATAAATTATTATATTAAAAATGATTTATTAATTATTTTAGTCTTTTATACCATTTCTTCTTTAATATATATATATATATATATATTAAAGAATTAATGGAATGATGTAAATCTTGTATATATAAAAGATATATTATTCTAAAGTTTTCTTATTATCTTATAGTAACTTTTGAAATTATTAATATTTGAAGACAGTATATTTAAATTTGATGACTAATAAAATTACTTATTTCCCAATTAAAATATCTTATTCCTTTACCATCTATTTCTTGATGGAATTATTTTTTTGCATTAATCTCATTTATAACTTAAGTAATCTGCTTAATAGAAAAGTTGTTCATAAATTAATACTTTTAATTTACTTTTCATAACATTCTCAAAATACATACAAGTATGACTCATCACAAATGAAATAGTGTATATGGCATTGCTAAACATAAGGTAAAATTTAACTGTACTGTATTTATTGTTAATTAACACATGAGTCTTATCTGTAATCTGCCATATATCAGACCAGTGGGTGTCAGGTTACAACCAATAGTCAGATTACTGGATGTTGTTTGTATGTATGTATATATATATTTTACAGTAAAAATGAACTTTGTTCACAGATTAGTCTACTGCATTAATCACAATCATTGCATGTGCAGTCAGCAAAATAGTCACAGACAACTAATGATTGACAGTATACATGTACTGGACATCGATAAGTGGTAACAAAAATTTCATGTGCACCACACTGCAGAATATCAGATTACTAAATGTGTCAGACTGGCAAGTGACTGACTGTAGAGACTACTGCAAGGTTTCCAACTTATGTTCTGCAATAAAAATTTGGAGTTCTACAATAAAATTTGTTGAGTGTAGTGATGTATGAATGTGCCAATGCAAATTTAGGAGATGAGGTGTAATTATTCTAGTCTTGGATTGAGTCCTTGCATGACAATATGAGGACTCGATCCGAGACCATACATGTGCTAAAGTTATTTATACAGGGTTCCTACTCAAATTTTTGTTTTGAATTCCCTGACTTTCCCTGATTTTCCCTGACCAACTTTGTCCAAATTCCCTGACCCTCACATTTTTTAGTGTGGAATATCGACATAATAAAACAGAATTTACGGTTAACATTGAGTACATTTAGCCCTCTTTTTGCACAGTTGATATGCTTCAAAGACTGCCACATTAAAAAAATACAGTACATACATCATGTAGAAAAATGTTTGATAGAATCCACAACTTCAATGTAATGAAAAAATAAGCAATTTACAATCAAAACACAAGCTTTTTATTTTATCATCATTTATCATTATTATTTGTATGTAAATCTAGTAAATACAAGGTAACATAAAATCAACAAAAAGTATTCTTTGATAAACAAATAGTACTGTACTGTGCTTAAAATGAACTCTTGACTTAGAAAAACACAATTTTAAAATCAATCTTTCAACAAAAAGAGTAGCTTTTTTTTAATCTTTTTACATTACCATCTGTTGCATATCTTAAAAACAGTTATTGCAAATATAATGTTTAAACATGCATTATTATATGGATAGGATAGATAGGGTGTGACCCATATCCTATTTCTGAGATCAAAGAATGTTTTGATGAGAAGAAATAAAACTCATATTTAATCACTGAGCCTTCTACTGCCCCCATGAAAGCCTCCAGTGCCCGCAAAGGGGCGTTATCACCCACTTTGAGAAAGGATGATCTAGACCAGTGTTTCTCAACCCAAAACTCATCGCAGACCGGAAAATATCTGCTTTTTTTAAGTGGACCAGTGACAATATTATTTTTAATTGAAAAAAATTCTCTGTTGTAAAAAGAACTGCAAACTACATTGAGCAATAAATATTTGTTATTTTATTTACCAGTACATTAGTATACAAATCAATGTGATCGCTGCTTTTCTTTTTTGCTAGTAAGATCATCAATTCTTGGAGTTAAGGCGGTAACTGCAAGGCGTGAGGCAGAACTAATACTATAATGATTTTGTTGTTTCAATTTTATCATTACCATTGCTGAAAACATTGATTCACATAAGTACGTTGTTGAAAAAGGTAGTAACATCCTAACTGCCTTTTTATGTAAAACTGGATATTCAGATTTAACTTTAATCCAAAACTGTGTTATGGGCATTGATTCAAACAATGTTTTAAATCCCAAGTCTGAACTTAATTTGATTAGTTTTTCGTATTCAAAGTCGTTCAATCTATTAGTTTGCTATCAATAAACGGATTAATAATCCACATATTTCCTATTTGAGAACAACGCATGGAAGGTACAGTATATATTTTTAAAGTTTTCGCGGACTGGTCAGATTAGAGTTGCGGACCGGCGGTTGAGAAACACGGGTCTAGACTATTTCTCAAGTTTCTATAAAAAATTTCTGTTCATTCCTTTTTTTCTCTAATAATTAAATTATTTTACGTTTTTCTATTTTAGTTCCGGACAATTCCGGAACCTCACACTTGTATTCCTATGAAGTCATAGTATTACGAAAATTGGGATTCTTAAAACTTATAAAATAAAATAAATACAGAAATAAACAACAAACGAAATTACAATTATACGTTATTAAAATATAGAAGTTCAGCGCAGAGAATCGTAACTACAAATCTCTTTCTTTTGCAACATAACTATAAAAATTGTTTTGGTGTTGTTTCGCACAAAAAATAATCAAATTTATTTTAATTTTTTAGTAATGTAATTATTTTTTTTTAAATTTACAGCTTTTTAATTTTTAAATTTTAATTATAAGCAAGTTAACATTGGTTAAACTATCGGATTACCTGTTGATTTTCGAAAATATAACTACAGAATATTTATTACAAGCATGATCAATCTTGCCAGTTTTTAAGCCCTAAATTTGCCAAAATCAGTGATATTTGTTACCCAATATCATTTCAGTTAACTAATTATTAAACTATGTATCGAAGTTGCGGAAAAAAACGGAAGAGAGAGGGAAAATATGCTTGCAGTACAGTACATTCAAGGAAAATCGTAACAACAAATATAAAAAGCTTGTGCCAACAACAAGTCAGCGCCAGTATTTTACTGTAAACGTCGGGTAACTATTTATAATTTTTTATGTTTTAAACTGAAAAACGATTAAATTACAGATTTTTACTGATCTGTTTAGCTATTTTGAAGTGAACATTCTAATAAATTACGATTTCAACTTTTAAAAGTTTGCAAACAAATTTTTAATTAGTTATTTTTTATTCTAATAAACAATTTCATCTTTTTATAATCGCTGAATTACTAAAATTAAAAATTAAACACTATTACATAAAAGTAGTTTATCCTGTTATTAATTAACTCCCTTGCTACCCACTAATTTTTAATATTAATGTAATTAAACATAAAAAATATTTAAAACTGGGAAAAAAACGAAAGAAATGCGTTAATTTTGAAGAAAAAGCTTCAAACTTTATTTTCCATTGTCTCGCCTTTCTGTGAAATCTGACACCGATGAGTCATTGTGTTTACAGCTGGATGACCTGGAGAACAGCTGGTGTTGGGATTTCCCGGGACATTCTCATAGAAGTCTCGGGAGGAGAAGGGTTTAAAGTAGAGTGAATACTAGCTGGCCGTATATTTTTAAATATTTTTCAAAAATTACGTTTTTTTATTGCGATTTCCGACCCCCCGACTTAATTAAACGTATATATAATAAAATATATTAATTTAAAAAATTAAAAAACTATTGGAGGTCGTTTTTGACATCAGAAACTAGCTTTAAATAACTTTATCGAAGTAAAATCCGTGCACTACTACTTTAGAACGATGAATGAAATTTGATAAAAAAAACTCCCATTAAAAAACAATTAAGCGTTAATCGTGCGTCATTAAAGGTATATTAAAATCGCAATGAAATATTTTCGCGCGGGAAAAAATTTTTGAAATAATTTGGAGACTTAACATTAAAAAAAAAAACAAAAATTTTTTCGGAGGGCCCAAATGCCCGAGTTTTATGTAACGCTATGGAACTTGCCCGAGTTATCTCGGGTTTTAAAGATTGCAGCATTACTTCTTGCCGCCTGCAGATGGCTGTGATTGGTCATCCATATTCAGCAAACGTGATCAACAATGCAGTTAAGGAGACAAATTCCCTGACTTTTTGACAAATTCCCTGACTTTTTGACAATTTTCGACAAATTCCCTGACTTTCCCTGACCTTTTCCAAACACTAATGAAAATCCCCGACTTTCCCTGATTTTCCCTGACTTTCCAGGTGCGTAGGAACCCTGTTTATAGCAGTAACAGAATGAACTAAAATCATGATATAATGTTTGACAAGGTAATGGAAACCATAAAAACAGTACAGTAAAACAAACTAAAGCTATAAAATCATTTAAAAAAATCATAGCCTTAAAAAGAATCCAACATATAAATAAAAATACAATCGTTAAATCTGTATGTATAATTATATTACACACACACACAAGCAAAATGATCTGTCACCACTGCAAAAAATCATGTAAATTAAAAAAAAAATTTGATTTACAATCATTTAAAAGTTTTGAAATTTTCAAATTGTAAATCAATTTTATTTTTTGAAATAAAATTAATTGAAAACTAAAACAATTTTAATTAATTTTGATTATATTTAATTGTAGTTTTACTTTCAGTTCAGTGTAAAGTATCTATCTAGTATGCTTTAATTTGTTGATATTTGCAGGTTTCAAACATTTGTTATTGTCAGGTTCCAACATTTTTTATTAAGATGAAAAGGGTTTCATGATAAAAATAAGTTGGGAACTTCTGCTCTATTGTATTATATATTCTGCATAACTTTATATACAAACTGTTACATTCTTAAGCTTGATACTCTATTAATTAAAACACAATTTGCATAAAACTTAATTATTCATCACATCTGTTTAGTACAAAAATAATGTCCCAACTGTTATCAAGTCTTGGCAGAGTGATTGTCTTGTGAGAAAAGTACTCATGCACTCCGTAGCAGTGTGTGCTACATCTACCAATCTACCAGCACAGTATTAACCCAAATGGTATGAGAATCAAACTTGTGTATTGTATAAGGAATGATTTTCCCACAAAAAAATCCAGATAATGTGCCAAACATCATCTGAAAATGCACAATTTTATATTTTGAAGACACATTACAGGATTTTTCAGAATCATCAAATTTAAGGAACTGTATTACATTAGAAAAATCAGCAGAAAGTCACTGCTTTATGCATAGATATTTTCTCATATCCAAATTAGGTGAAGTAGTTTCTCTTCATTTAAAAAAAAAGTTTTCAGAATTTAATTTTCAATTACTTTTTACAATGTTAATATAATACATCTTTAGAAAAAATATATTTCTTGCTATACTATGCATACAAGGCATTAACAAATCCACAGCGGAACAGACCTTTTATTATAAGCTACTTGTCTGCCATCAAATGTAAAAAAGCTAAAAAGTCCTCTAGCCAGTAGCAAACACAAGCATGTGAAAGGACAGGAGGATTTAAACTCATTTTTATGCATAGTATAGCAAGAAATTTATTTTTTCTAAATGTGAATTCATCCTGGCAAAATTTTTTAATATAATACATCTTATAAATTTATATAATACATTGTAAGATTTCAAGATAACAGTTGTTATTACATCTATATTTAAGAAAATAATTTTATTACAAGAAAACTTTTAAGGCTATTAATAGTTCAGGTTTAACTATGTTTGCAATCTCATCTTTTTTGACAGAACAATTCCAATAAATGGAACTGAAATACTGTATATGTTTGAATGAGTCAACTCATTGAAGAACAGAAGAAATTTCTATTTTAATCCAAAAGTTTATAAAATAAAATTTAAATTACTCACCAAATTAATATTCCACAGATAGCAGATAAAGATTTAAGGTTAAATTTAATAAAACAATTAAAGTTAAGACAAAATATTCAAATTATACTTACCTTGTATTGCTAAAAGATAATCTTCATGGAAAGTACCAGCATAGCTATCTACTGTACAACGATATACACCACCATTTGCAGTTCTCACTCCATTAATTATTACTATTGGACCGTGGAATCTTATATTATCAGGAAGAGGTCCTTCCTGCCGAAGTTTCGACCACAGTATCCGAGCAGACGGATCTCCAGTCACTTTGCAATGTATTCTCAATGTGTCTCCTAAATTAACTGGATCTTTATTTGTATCAATTTTGACTTCCAATGTTGGAATGGCTAAAAATTAAATTAAACAATTTCTAAGTGAATAAAATTAAAATTTATAAAATAATTTTTGTAAATATTGTTCAAATTTCAATATCAAAAATTTTCTTATTCAAAATTAATTTTGAATATATTATTATTACTAACAAAATTCAGATTTAGTATGATTATTTGCGAGGTAGAAAATGTTGGTTTTTTTATTCATCATTCATCTATTAGTATACCTCTATCTTTTAATCATGAAAAATCTGAATGTTTACAAGAGGTATATGGATATTGGAACACTGTTATTGGGACCAACCCCTTTTCCGTTCTTTATTACAATGCGTTTTGTCCAACCGATCGTGGCAATCAGGCAAAACATTGCATCGCTTGCTATTTTCGATGCAATTCCCATCACCACATGTAATCTGGTCAGTATTGCAATTTACTTCACCATCTAAAAATGAGATCAGTATAGTTAATAAAAGCAAATTAAAGCAAAAAAAGCTAGCAAATCAGAAAATTAATAAATATAAACTATAATTGTATTACTTTGTTAATTTGTAAATTTTAATTTAGTAAAACAAATCAGTTAAAAGCAAACTATATATTATTAAAAAAGCAGCAATAATGAATAATAAATATAATAAAGCTAAATAAATACAGAATAATTAAAGTTAATAATCATGCAAAATATTTTAAAAATGGGAAAATTAAATCAAATGCCATGCTGCATATATCATTAATTTTAAATTCAATTAAAATATTAATTGCTGAAACAGCTTTGACACTATAAATTTAAATGATTTATTTATATATTTTCAATATTTTTAACTTACTTTTCACAGTCAGTAGAATAAACCCTTGCTTCCTTTGTGGATAATTAGTAGTTGTACAGATATATTTACCTGTATTTTCATGTTGTAGGTCTTTGATCCTAAAATATTTATATTTTAAATTTAAAAAATCATAATACTAATTAATAATCCTTAGTTTAATTTTACCTTATGATTAATATGTAGTAAATTTGATTTTTAAATATCAAAGCAATGATAAATATTTGCTATTTTACTAAAGTACAAATTAATCCAAATTCAGCCATATCCATTGTACTGTGTATATATTTAGAACCATGATAAATAAGTTACTGTCTAAAATAATTTAAAATAATATTTTTCAAGAATATCTTTATCACTAGTAATTAGCATCTGAAACTACTACCTTGAAATTTTTATTACTATAAAATAACTACATTTATATTCATTTTAAAATAATAAACAGATTTTTTGAAATACAGTAAAATCTATCTAAAACAGAATCTGAATAAAATAGACTAGCTAAACAGAAAAAAATTCTTGAGAATAAAGCAATTTTTCTGTGTTGAATTCAACTATAAACCAGAAACTTGCTCAATGCAGAAATGGAAGAGTATAACAACCTGGATGAAGTGGAAAATTAAAATTCTACTTGTAGGCAAATGAGTAAAATCAAATGATCTTGCCAAATGTAGCCTGATAATTCAGCAAGATTGTTTGGCTTAATTAAAATTGGGTTATAAGTTGTTTATGTATGAATAAAATCATCTCTGTTGGCAGAGATGATTTTACTCATATTTATGATAGGCCTATTTAATTATTTGTATGATTTAATTAGAATATACAGAATTTCAAACTACTTACAGTAGTAATAATTATCATTTGTTCATTAAATATTGTAGCTTACTAGCATATAAAACAAAACAATTTTCAGGAAAATTTTGGGTCCTGAAAATATTCTATATTCCAATATTACATGCTTCAAAATAAACTATGCTTAAAATGTTTTAATACAGTAGAGCATCGATTATCCGACCCCCAATTAACCATCACATCGGTTAACCGACCGTTCTAGTCGGCAAATTCAAATGTCCGCTAGTGATGTGGTGCTACAATATTTGGCTGTCTTGGCTACTTTAATAGTACTTTTACGTGTTTTAGCTGGCAACACTGGCTCGGCCATGAAAGGGAGCCAGTATTTAAACGAGGCTTAATTTTCTAATTTTTAATGATACAATAGCGATGATTATTATTTTAAAAAAAATTTTTGTTAGGCTTATCATCAATGAAAATTCAACGCAAAGTAGGTTAATAGCGATATACTAATTACATGAGATATACTAATATACTATACTAATAATGTATTTTTTCATATTTTTCGGTTATCCATTTTTTCAGTTATCCGACCAACCCCAGTCCCCAATTGAGTCGGATAATCAATGCTCTACTGTATTCGCACCTCAACACAAAAACCTTTAAAAACAGAAAAGTGAATTAAAAGGCTGCATTTTTAAAGGTTTTTGTGTCAAGGTGTAAATATTAGTTGAGTGCAGTTAGAGGAGAATGTAAAATGTTTTAAATTTTTGAAATTTATATATAAAGTTTGCTAAAAGTTAAATTATCATAAATTTCATTTTTATCAATGTAAATATTCAGACTAGTGTGCAGGATTTTTAAAGGTTGAGTTTTAAAAATATTTTTTCAAAACACTAGTGTCCAAAATTATAGAAATACACACACATGACAAAAATACAGAAATGAACAGCCCTCCATCACAATCAATGCTTTCTCTGAGGCATGCCTGATAAGCTACTACTGATATTTCAGGAACATTTCCTCGTTGTTAGAGAGCTTAATGATCCTAGCAGACAACAGTAAAAAATAATTTTGGTGTATACCATCAAATATTTTGCTAATTTACATATGACATAAGTTTCAGCTACTCATATTTCTTGATGTTGATTTTACACAGTTTTGTGTTTATATTGTTTTCCAAAGTTAAAACAACAGTTAATTAATTTTTATAATAATAATTTTACAATTTTACTTTGAACACCAGTAATTACTGTATTGTGTTAACTAAGGAAGAACTGAATGGTAACAATATAAACATAAGTTATATACAATATACTGTTTAATTTTAATTCTATTTAACTTTTTAATTCTTTATAAACGGGAGGGTTAAGCCCACAAAACTCCTCCAGTGTGTATGACCTTGAATGTACCGGTACTTCTCAAAACTTAATCATTTTGATTCATAAAACAAAGAGCAGTTTCTTTGTTTCTCTATGAATCAAACTTTTTCTCACCCCAATCCTTTCACAAATTATTTTTCCATATTTAAATTAATGTTATTGATAAAATATGAATTTTTTGAAGAGTCATATCTCTCTTCCTAATGGGAGAAATTCTTATTTAAAATGAAAAGTTCTTTTCTTCCACTTTTTATTTTTTAGTACTAACAATAATACAGGTATACCTCGAGTTACATCATTCTCAATTATACATCGTCAAAAAAATAAACTTGATTTTTATTTTTCCATATAAGTCATTTTATTCAACTTTGTCTGTCTGCCACAAATATTGAAATCATAATATCCACTAGATAAGTGTTAAAAGAACACAAAATCATATTAAAATACATACATTTACAGTAAATGTTAATATAATCATCATAAATTGTAGAGAATGAAATATGAAAACATCTGTGACTGTGTTGTCATCTTATTTAGTGGTCTTTGAGACTTCAATATTGGCATTTTTTCATGACTGTGTTGTCATCTTATTTAGCGGTCTTTGAGACTTCAATATTGGCATTTTTTCATGGTAGTTCCAATATCTACTGTTTGGCGTCGTTGTCAGTGCCACTCGTTATTGGTAAATTTAACATAAATTAACTTTTTACTATTGCAAAATAATTTTAATAATTGTATTTGTTATTTAACCTTACAAAATCATCTTATTTTATAATATCTTAAAGCAAGCCACATTAACAAATAGTCTGTGATGTACTGTAAACATTGGCAAATTGTAAACATGTATAGTAACAAGTATGTACATACCGTACATGTGTTTGTAAATTTAGATTTAGTTTTTAATATAGTACAGGAAAAAAAGTAAATTTATTTGTTTGTAAGCTTAAAATAGATTCTTATTAATCATATATTATTAAAAATGCATTTATAAATAAAATACAAAACTGGGAATGGTTATTTGTGGTTTAGCCTAGTGACAAGTAAATTTGACTTGAGTCACCTCTCCTGGAACAAATTACCGACGTAAGGCAAGGTATACGTGTACACTAATTCCAAGAATGTTTCAGAATTTTAGTTTAGACTATGTAAATATCAAAACTACTTGTTTAGTAATAAAAATTACATGTATCAATCTTAACCAAATTTAATTTCTTCCATATTTATAAAACTTATCTCTGTTATTACTATATAAAGAAACATCATCACTAAACCATATATTATAAAACTACACACCAATCAATGCTGAATCTAGCCCGATAATATTCGGCATTGGTTGGTGTGTAGCTTTATCTATTATTATCCATTTACTTTGTAGAACTTTGAAAACTAAAATTACAATTGCAAAAGCATAGGCTGTTGCCTTAACAACAACCTATCATTGACTGTTCCAAAATATATAAATAGTCTAATTTCTGAATTTTCTTATCTCTATAATTTACTGAGCCTAAAAAGACTCAAAATTTCTTTATATATTTATTTCAGATTAATAGAGGTCTCTAATTTGATATTAACTGCAATATTTAGAATTAGTGGTTTCTTTTTATTCACATATAGACTAGAGGAATACAAGTAAGGCTCTTAATTTTCTAGTTGTATTGTAAATTCTGGATTTAATAAGCAGGACTTTCCTATCTCATTATGGAATAATTCTTAAATGATAAATATAACTATTATTACTAATAGTATGAATATTGAAAAGTGTATTATTAAAGAAATAATTATTTACCTTAATTCATTGTTAACAATATTTACATTTGGAGCTATGGTTCCATCTTCTTTATTCCATACGATTGTAGGTGGAGGAAAACCTGCTATTGGACATCTTAATTCAATACTAGCACCTAGAAAGCCTGTTTCTTCTCTGTAATTTGAATCAGGTTCTCGTTCTAAAGCAGATGAAAAATAATCAAAATATAAATTTTCAATTCATTATAAAAATTAATAATAATCACCATTTTACAAACCATTAACAGTAACATCTGCATATCCTCTTGCTTTACCAGCAGCATTTACCGCTGTACATAAATAACGCCCTGAATCACGCAATGTAATTCCTCTAAATTCTAGAACACCGTTAATTTGAACAACGTTGGGTGCAAGTTGATGACCAGGTCTACTCCAATCAACTGTGATTGGTTGGTCTCCAATTGCAGTACAATGGATCCTAACAATATCACCAACTTTGACAATTTGTGAGATCGGATTCAAATGAATGGTTGGAGGAGCTGGAAAGGGAGAAAAAAAAATAGTCAAATGATGTCAAATAATTTTTTATTACTAATAATTTTTTTATACACAGTAAGAAACAAAATTTGATCTTAATCCACTCAGGTATATTTGAATTTTCTTCTTTCAGTTCTGTTAGTGTATTAATTATTTTAGTGATTCATCATTTGTAAACAGTATTTAAAAGTATTGGAAGACATATCTAAATCTATGATTATTCTGATTTGGTAATTAATTTTATTTTTATTTTTTAAATATCTAAACATTTACGTAACAGTAAGCAATTAAAATTGTAAACTTTGGCATTTGTTACATTTAATTATATAAAAATAATATATATTGTAGAACTAAAAAGTGGTAATAAAAATAGTATAACTAGAACAGTAATAATGTAAAAATAAAAAATAAGCTTATCAATTTAGGAACTTTATTTCTCTATGTGAAGCTCTAACTCCTACATACTTTTCCATTTAGACCACCGTTAGAATCCTCCCTACAGTCACATCTCCATTGGTACTGCCTGTAAATTACATAATCATAATCAAAATTGTAAACTGACAGTTCCAGTGGTGATGTGACTACATATAAACTTGAATCAATATTACAAATTCCAACAGTAGCCTAAAAAGCAAGATCTGTCGAAGTTATATCTTCATCATTCTAGGAATTTATCTTTTAGTTCTATAATAAATAATTTTCAGTTTAATTATTATAAGTTTAAATAACACCAAATTATAAATAAATTCATTATAAAAATTTTGTTTTTGGTTATAAAATATTTACATATTTATCTAATGCAGAAAATGGATTTTGAACTACAGTAGAGCATCAATTATCCAACTCAATTGGGGACTGGAGTTGATCGTATAACTGAAAAAACAGATAACCAAAAAGTATAAAAAAAATACATTATTAGTATAGCATATTAGTATATTGCTATTAACCTACTTCGCGTTGAATTTTCATCGATGTTAAGCCTAACAAAATTTTTTTAAAATAATAATCATCGCTATTGTATCGTTAAAAATTATTTGAAAATTATTTTATTGCTCACAAAACAAACCACCACTCATAATTAGAAAATTAAGCCTTATTTAAATACTGGCCTCCCTTTCATGGTCGAGCCAGTGTTGCCGGCTAAAACACGCAAAAATTCAACAAAAATAATATTAAAGTAGCCAAGACATAGCCAAATATTGTAGCGCCACATCACTAGCGGCCATTTGAACTTGCCAACTAGAACGCAATTGGTTAACCGATTTGATGGTTGATCAGAGGTCGGATAATTGATGCTCTACTGTATTCTTCTTTTCAGTTCATACATATAAAAATACAAGTATTTTAAAAGAAGAACAAATTGTAAAATTAAAAATTCTCTCTAAATTTTCAAAAACATCACTTAATTTCATTATATAAATGTTTACTTATAAAATCACACACAATCAAGAACTTTTAAAATCCAGTAAAACAATTTTAATAAAAACATCCAATGAACATTTTTGATCTTATCCAAGGACTGCTTCTATGATCTTGTTATATTTTATAAGGAGCACCTTATAATATATAACAAGATCATACTTTACTTTTATACAATATAAGTTTACTACTTTAATTAATAAGATAGTAAACTTAATATTAAAACTATTGTATTCTCTTTTACTATATACTCAAATTTACATATTAATTTTTCTCCCAAGATGTTTACATATCTAACACCTAAACAAATACAGATATGTTTTAACTTTTGAATATCCTAGCCAAAATTCTTGACAAGTTGTTTTGAAATGGTCTTATTTCTATGCTTGGCATGTCCAATCATTATTTTACTCATTTTTGCAATAATCTATCTGTCTTCTGTCAACTTCAATGTTTTGTTTATGATAATTAATATCCATCCTTTTAACAGTATTGAAAGATTCTTCCTTATTGGTTTGAATATATTGACAATTGATGTAATGTAAAATTGCCATAAAATAGGTTCACTGATATTAAATGGCATTTCTAAAGGTGAAACTCAATCAACACTGGTTTTCTAATGCTTTTCTGCTTTACAATTATTATAATGAATATAACTGCATCAATTGTGAGATGTCTATATTGTTGATACTATTAATAATTAAATGCTAAATAATCCAGTATAACCTGATCTAATATTAAAGCCAAACAATTGCCAGATAACTATTGGGCTTAGATATGTTTGTATTTGGATATCTGGTCAATTTATATATTTTAACCCAGGATTTTAGCATCTTTTTCAAATATTATGATGTAATTTAGAGAAATTTCAAAATGAACGAGTTGATTGTTATGATGCATGTTATTGAGTAGCAAAAATAAATCAATTCATTATACAATACTTGAAAAGTGGAAAGAAATGAAAGATTTTTGTTTTTTTACAGTGGCAATCTTTTATGAATATCAAAATATAATTTTCCATGAAAGTCGAAGAAATATAAATTCAAGGACAGCTTTATTGCCAGTTATTTGTTTCACTACAAGTACCCTGTTGAGTGACTGTAAAGAAACTAGTTTTTGCATCAGGGTAGTGTCAAATCATCCAATCTTTGTTGACAGAGGAGACAAATGAGTGTTAATGACAGGAAATAAAGCAAAGCTGTTAAATATGGTTTTTGCTGGTTAATCATCATCTTAATATATATGAAATAATAGAAAATACTTTACTTACTTATTACTTAACATGTCATTGTAAATTTTATTAAGAAAGTTGCACATTTACTCTTGAACCCTTATTATTGGATATTACACAGTCCATTGTTTAGTTCTTAAGGACACATCAGCAATTTTTCTAGGAGACAGAAAAACCTGTTCTACAGGCAGTGAGAGGGCAGTTGTCAAGGGGTCAAATCACTTTGACTTTTGAGAGAGAGAAAGTCTCCCTGTCACTTGCTTTAACCGATAAGTGCATATAAATTTATCATGTGAGTACTGCTCTTGTTTGCAACACAAAAATAAAAATAGAGGCTAGTCACTTGTCGATGGTTGGCAGGACATGACATTTTATTTCTTTACTTCAATTGTAAGAGCCAATTTATGGTATAACCACATTTAAAGAATATCACCACAAGGTACTCAATGATACATGTTTTTGTGCCATTAGTGAAAATTTATGCTTTCCAGGTAAAAATGTTGCTCATATGACTCCTTGTTTGTCTGAACATTATGAACATCAACAGGTTTTTGTCGCTCAGAGACATGTCTGTGGAGTGAGAAATCACCTAGCGTGTAACAACCTTTACTACGGAAAATTGACTTCTAAGATTCTATATTAAGAAATTCTCTTTTATCAACTTTTATGATAAAAATTCAAGTAAGAGTATTAGTAATGTCAAATGTGGATTGACATACAGAAAATCAGAACTAAAGATCAGCCATGTCTTTGATGTTTTTCAGAAAAATTGCAATGGCAGATAAAAAAATTCTTTAAAAAACATGAATGTGTGTTGTACATAAAGGCATTCTTGGTACATTTAACAAAAGGAAAATCTGCTGGAAAAGTTTGAAATTGTAATTTAAAATTAACAGATAGTTTGAAAGCAAGTTCAGATTAACAGCCTGCAAGTTATTCACAGACAGTTATGGTAATTAGAAGTTAGAATATTATAAAACTTTATATATTTAAAACCAAACAAACACACTTTTCGTACTTTTCCAGCACTATTATTCCAGAAAGCCCAGCTTTTAAAAGATATTTGTATATATGTATCTAATAAGTTAAATTCCATATTTAGAATATTTTAAACAACTATTTTTCCCAATTTAAATATATTTTTATTCTTTACTATAATTTGTTGAAAGTACTTTTGTCCAATACTAAAAATTGTAAACTGTATTATAAAAGTTGATATAGGAGAAATTTAATAGCTGTAATGAATAAAAAAAATTCTATGCTCATTACATAGAACATTTATATCTAAAATCTATTCTTACCATTTGCATATGGTCCTATGATTGCATTTAAAAAAAAATTTAAGTTTGAATATTAAAGAATAAAAATATTAATTATATAAAATATTTGTAATACAAACCTACGACAGCCAATCTGGCTTTATCTTCCAAATTAATGAGATCACCTTCTGTAACACTAACACAAGTATATTCACCAGCATCTTCTTTTTGTACATTGTTTATAGTTAGGATGCCATTATGAAGTGTGTGATCTGGTGACATTGGTTTACCATCAGATCTTGTCCACTTCAGAACTAAAACTTTATCAGTACCTGAAAAAGTTTATACAAACTTTAATACAATTTAATTTGTTGTTCCTTAAAAAAAAATAATTGACTATAATGATTAATAATATCATATAAATTTATAGTTAATTATTTCTCAACTGATTTTTTGGGGGTTTTGTATTAAATCAATTTAATGAATATTAGTGAGGATTCATGGAAAAAAAAATTGATATAAGATTGGTGTAATATGTAACTAGTAAATTTTTCCATCAAGAATCACAGATTATATGATGTTTAATAAAGTAAAACTAAATGAAATAACTACTAAGTACAATATTGTATCAAAGAAGTTTTGTGAGGTCATTAAATTTTTCTTCAAAAACAATATTTCATTAAGGAAACTTGTAATGACTCAAAGGAAAGCTCTACTATGTATTACAAAAGCTTATTGTACCACTCAACTAATGCATTACAAATAATTGCACAAAAGTTGCCTATAGAATAAGTAAGAAAAGCTAAAATATTTCTATTGGTACCTTTTGTATCACATATGAACAAAATTCTAGTTACTTCCAGGCCTACAGGAACAGCAAGTAATTAACAATGTTCCTCATTCACAACTCTATTTACAGATTTTCAGAGGCTTCAAAAAGGAAGGAGATGTAGGAGCAAGTTATGTAATTTTTCATAGGAATATTAAGAATCAACTAAATCTATAGGTTAAATCAAAACAGTAAATATTTCAGCTTGAAATATAGTAATCTTAAAAGTATTGAAATGGTGTGACACTCATTACAAGGATGAGTATGTACAAATATATTCTGATAGTGCCTTCACATTTATACATCACACACATGTGCAGTCGACCCCCCTATAACACTGTTGATTTTTCCGTTTTATATGAATTCCATGTTGTACGAGTCACTTAGATTTTACAAATACGTGAGCCGTTCACAGCCTGGCACACGTATTTGTAAAATCTAAGTGACTCATACAACATGGAATTCATATAAAATAGAAAAATCAACAGTGTTATAGGGGGACTGTATACGTTCCCTCACCCACGTACTTTAGTGGTGCTGAGAATACCCATGGACTTATGAAAAGTTCACAGTGACAGTCTGATATGTGTTACTCTGCTTTCTTACGTATCAATCTCATACAGATTCTTCAAAGACTTTGATTGAAAAACTTCCTGTCACCTGGAACATTGCTGTTCTAGACACTTTCTTTTCCACAAGTTTGATTTTTATATTTAATTTTTAATTGTTAATATAATATTACATATTAGCATTTATGCTTTGTTAATTGTTTTACAGCAAACTGTTGTTACTTTATCAGCTGTTGTAACATTATTGTTTTACTTTGTAACGGTATGTTCTAATTATACTTTGTATTTATATATATAACTTGGCATGTAAAACTCTTCTTGTAAAAAAACTTGCAAACTTCTATGTATCAACCAATTGCTGTTAGTACATAGTACTATCTATGTTTGTAAATCAACAAATGTGCTTAATTATCAAGAATAGTCATGTAAAATCAAAACATATACCTGCAATTTTACAACGATACTGTACTGTTATTTTATGTCTGTAAAACCAACTAACAAATATATTGTATTATAATACCTGATTACAGAGCCGTAACTAGGCAGGTGCAACAGGTGCACCCGCACAGGGCCCACTTGGAAGGGGGGCCCAAACTGCTGTTCACAAGAAATTATATTTTTAATTTTAAAATTTTTCCGCCTTTCTACAGCGCGGTTTGGCGATTACATTTCGCCTTACTTAGACCCTAGATGTCTGCTCACCAGTGTTCCCTGTTCCCAACTGATGCGACTTTTAGAGGGACGTAGTGAGGTAGCGGAGACCTCAGACAAATCGGTCAAAAGTAGCGACTTTTGAGATTTTTTAATTTATTTTTTGAGAAATTTAAATTTATGTTTATAGTTTTCAAATTTACAGATTTTTCTCTACTTTATAGAGCTCTCTGGCAACTACTAATATTATTACGATATACAAAACTGTATTTCTAGATTTTTCTACAGTGTGCAGAGCTAGAAATCTGTAAAGGTAACATTTTGTAACAAAAATAAATCTGCCCGAGGATTTTTTTAAAATTACTAAATTGAAAACGGTAACTCCCGAATAAAATCTTAGTCTCGAGGTTGTAAAAGGCGTGCAGAAATTCTGACATCATTTTTTGCTTTATAGTGGTACGCATATGTGGTGTATACCTGAACGGCGGATTAAGCGGTAAGCGAACTATGCGGGCGCGTAGGGCCCCGAAGGGGCTCCCGCAGTCTTTAAAATGCTACTGAAAAAAGGGATTGCGAAAACGCAGAAGATAGAAATAGTCCAGAAAAACGCTTCGATATATATAGATACATGGAAGTAATAAATGATATAGCTTTATGGCCAACAATATTAACAGATGCTATTATTGATCATATTCTTAAAACAAACCAAAAAGTATAGAAAAGGGATTTCTTAATAAACGAAAAAAAAAAGTTAAGATAATGGAAATAGATAAAACACCAGATGAAGGAAGTAACTTGACACCCGAAAAATTATTTAAAATACAAATTTACAGTGTTCTTGACACTCTATTGTGTCAAATAGATTGGCGTTATGAAAAAATGAAAACTATCTGTGACGATTTTTGCTTTCTCTGTGGCTCGTCTTTACAATACATGAGTGTTGCTGATTTAAAAAAATCGGCTGCAGATCTCGCTATTAAATATAGCAAAGATTTAAAAAAGTACGAATTCACAAGTGAAATTGAAAGTTTTAATTTTGAAGTAACGACTCTTATACAAAATATAGAAACTGCATCTCCGCTTAATATTCTACAGGCTCTTCATGATTTTGGTTTAATTGAGTCTTACCCAAATATCAATGTCGCTCTTCGAATATTTCTAACTCTTCCCGTTTCTATTGCTTCGTGCGAGAGAAGTTTTAGCAAGTTAAACTTAATAAAAAATTATTTAAGATCAACTATCGGACAAGAACGATTATCCAATATTTCTATTATTTCAATAGAATGCAACATTGTCAAAAATATTAATTATGAAGGTGTAATTAATGAATTTGCTGAAATGAAAGCCAGAAAAATTTAATTAAAATAAATCTTATTAAAAATCTATTGTAATGTATTTGTTTTATTATTTTCCCAAAACAAATAAATTAAGGGGCCTAAATACAAATTCTTGCACAGGGCACAGGAATGGCTAGTTACGGCTCTGCCTGATTATGCACTTGCGACATCAGGTCATGTAACCTTGTTACATTAATAAATCTGAATGAATGTATATGTTCCCTTGAGACCAATATCAAAAAAAGGTTGCTCATCACTAATGTAAAAACTGATATATTACCTTTTACAATGCATCTAAGTTCTATTTTGCTTCCAACATTAGCTGTTACTACTCTCTCCAAAACACTGACTGCTGGAATATCTGTATCTATATCTTCAACTATAAACATATTAAATAATTATGTAAATATAGAATTTCAAATAATTATTTTTAATATTGCATTTTAATTTTTTAAAAAGCAGCAGTGTATACTATAAAATTTTGTGAATGATTTTCTAAAAATAAACATACCAACTAATTGAATGCGTTCTTCTGAAACTCCAGTAGCACTTCTTGCTTTGCAGACATAGACTCCTGCATCTGACAATGCTACTCTCTTTATTTCCAATACAGCTGTTCCTTCTTCTTCTTCAGATGCAGCATAAGATACAAGTGGCTGTCTTAACTTCCTCCATTCTAAGCTAGGTTTTGGATCTCCAGATGCAGTACATTCAAATCTCACTGTATCACCAGGACGGGCACGATAGGGATTTGCCTGCAATATTCTTAAAACTGGTGCACCTGTGTTAAGAATATAATTATATTATTTTTAGTTTCAACAATTTAAATAAATTTTTATTGATTGAAAGTAAACTTATAACTTTTACCCTCAATTTGTAAGGAGGCAACAGCTACAACGTCTCCGACAATATTTTCAGCTTTACATACATAATTTCCTTCTTCTTCACCAGTTACTCTATTAAATCTGTTCAAACAAAATAAAGATTTTAAATGAAAAAAGAAAGTTTATAAAAACTTTCCATCTTTTTGTTAGTTTATTTACTTTCTTTTAATTAAGCTAACTAACCCATTCACTTAAAATACATTATATTCATAAAATGTGATAATTGAAGAAACTAAAAATGCATAATAGTTTGTGTAAATAGAGAATCTTTCTGATAATTTTCAATATACAACTTCTATATATTGAAATAAAAATTTAATTAACATCAAAAGCAGCTTGCTTGGCTTTTCATAATAACTGAACTTGAACATTGTTTTTACCAGGTGTGGGATTCTAGACAGAGAATAATGTTATTTAACCAGTCCAAAACTAAATTAATTAATCAAAAATTAAGGTAATATTTTAAAGTCAATAATGACACATTTTGTCACTTTTAGTAGGAAAGGGAAGTATTGATAAAACTTTCTTTGGAAAGATGTTATCACACATCTCCGACAAACATCTGTCCATATGAGTCAGAACATATATCCCGTCAGATGCTACAAATACTAAAACCTGATTGGAGGGGAATTTAGCATAAAAAGGAGGTTATACGAGAACTCAGGGCAGATGACCCAGAAATGACTCTGCCACATGGAAGTGCAGACCATGGTATAGAAACCAACGAACTCTCCCAATACAGTCTGTCAATCCTCCCCTGCCACCGCTGTCTCCAGGCCTCTCTGAAAGTAACTCTGTGCATACAGAAGACTACGGTCAACTAGAGGTATTATTGTAGATCATTGTAAACTCTCTCTTGGTATTTAAAGTTATACTTAGTTGTTAGTTTATTTTCATTTGTACTTCTTTTTATATAACCATTAAATTCTTTGCTGTGTGTTAATACACCTGTCCATTCATTTGACAATGATTGGAACTTGCCCGTGACCTCCCCACTCGACTTATAGCCCTCCTAAAACACCATCCAGTGACATCGTGAGCGGATCTAACCATTCCGACAGATCAAAAGGGTTATGAGTAACACTCTTGTACCCCCATATTCTCACATCAGGTATGTACAGTACAGTAAAACCCTAAGATTTAGAATATTAAATATATACACTGTGATCAGAGTATTGGAAATGGTTCATTTAAACTGTGCACATGGAAGCAGGTGCTGCCACTGTTTAGTATAACTTTCATCATCTAGTAGCAATCTGTATGTGATCATCTGTTTTCATTTGCAAATAAATACTTGTTTTGTGCATAGAGAATTTTTGCATCAGCAATTTTTCAAAATGTTGAGAGTAATTGAGCAAAGAAGATGCAGTAAATTTTGTTTCCACAATGGAACTACTGCTACAAAAATGTTAGAAATGTTGCAAGAAGACTTAGTTAAAATAATTTATCAAAAACATGGTTTTTCGAGTGGTACAAATGTTTGGAAGGCAGAGAATGCGTTGAAGACAAATCATGCTCTGATAGATTGTCTATTGAACTGATAAACAACACATTGTTCAATGATCATCATTAGGGACATTATTGAATAAGTTCCAGTATCATTTGGATCTTGTCAAGCAATTTTAAAAGATCAGTTGGGCTTGTGGTGCTTAACATTTGCAGGATGACTCAAGAAGTAGAATTTTTTTAAAAAACAACATGTTTGAGTGGCTGATGAAATGCATTCTCGAGGCAAATTGTTTCTAAAATGCATCATTATGGGTATTGAAACACAAACAGCTCAACAATCAAGTGAATAGCACTCAAAAGAGGAAGTGAGACCAAAAAAGACTGTCAAAGTCAGTCAAAAATCAAATCATGTTGACTGTTTTCAACTTTTATGGTGTTGCACATCACAAATTCCTTCCAACTGGCCAAACTGTTAACAAAGGCTATTGTTTGAGTGTTTTGCTTTGTTTGTGTGAAGCAATTTGTAGAAAACAACCCAATTTCTGGTGTGAAACCTGAGATTTTGCACTATAATAATGCACCTGCTCACAAAGCTCTTGTTTGTAAATTTTTGGCAAAAAAATTCAACAAATATGATTCTGCAAGCTCTATATTCACCCAGTGTAGCACTGTGTGACTTGTTCCTGTTTCCTCAACATTAAAAAAAAATTTTTTAATTTTTGATTTTCACTCACTGTTTTGAGTCAATTTATGTCATAAAATTAAATTTTCTACCCCAATTAAATTAAAAAGTCCCAAGGAGGTTTCACAAAAAACAACATTAAAGCATGATAATGTTTTTTCCAATCTTTGAAACATAAGTGTATTGCAATGGGAGGAGATTACTTTGAAGAAAACAAAATAAATTTTGAAGAATAAATGCAAATCTTGAGTTTTATTGAACCATTCCCAATACTTTTTGATCATGGATAAATAGGGATAGGTAAAAAAATAAACAAATAGAATATCATCATTAGAATAGTATTATTAGGCTTATATCATTGAATAAATGTTGTTATATATTAATTTGTGCCTTTATAATTTTACATTTCATATGAAGTTTGTGGGTCTTATGAGATGTTTGACATCTTGGTGATGTAGTCATCCAGAGGGTCTACTAGATTAATTTCAGGTCAAATTTTTTCTAATTTTCATAACCCTAACTTGTAAAATAATAACCCCATTTTTTAGACTGTCTTTTAAACTGTTATACAATTTATACAACTTGATATCTAAATCTGTTGCATTCCTGTAAATGATTCAAATATCAGGAATTTGGATAATAGGATATTTATTTCATATTTAACATACATACCTAATTACGCCACCTTGTAAAATTTCAGTGCTACTTGTGAAAGGACTGCCATCTGATCTTGTCCATTCTACAGTTGGAGAAGGTATTCCAGCTACTACTCTACATTGGAACAAAGCATTTCCTCCAGATAAAACTTTTTGAGTTGGAGATGGATATATTTCAATTGCGGGAATTTCTCTTCCTATAATAATATAATAGATGAGTTCATTTTAAAACTTATAGTTAATCTGAAAATTCAAAAAGATTCAAATTTTAAAAAATTAAATAGATAATACCAAGTATTTTGTTACATATTAGATTATAGTAATAGACAAACGTTAGTAATTTTATGCAAATAACACCAGGTTATCTGTGTTTAAAAGGAAATTTGGAAGCAGTTGTTGATTATGCAATCAGATGGTTTATAATAGTGGTTGCCAACCTTTCTGACCTCAGGAACCATTAAACTCACAATTTTGAATCCCACAGACCACTTTCATAATTTTTTAAATGATACAAACATTATAGAATAATGATCATAAAAGTTTCATTTTACTTTATTAATATAATTAAACAAGTGAATGTCATATCAAATTAGTATGAAGTTTGTTTGAAATAAGTTCATGGATTATTGGCTTTTTTGCACAAAGATCAACAATTGCACTCACAACATTATTGATTTATTTACATTATTATTTATTGATAACAGGTCATTTAGTGTTTGGTTTTAGATTCAAATAAAAAAATACTCAATGATTGAGAAAAAGTAACCAGACATTTTGCATTTCTTTCATAATACTTCACATAACTAATGTCCAAATTTCTCCACAAACCACTGGTTGGCAACCTCTGAGTTATAAGCCAATTTTAAATTGCAATTACAGATGCATCAAAAAGTTTTGCCATTGTTTACAGTCACTAAGAGTCTTTAGAAAATGTGGAAAATCCTTTGTGCACCCTAGATATGCTATAAAATGCTCACAGTATAATCAATTTATTAGATTAAATATTTTTCAAGACTACAGGTAACTCAACATCAAATTTTTTGAGTTAAAAATCTAAGGATGAGATATGCATAATGTTGAAATATGTTTAATCATTTAGATTCCTTAAACATTTTAGCAAATCAAAATGCTTGATAAATTTTTTATGCTGAATATCATTGCATGTTAGAATTTTCTAATAAATGTATGTTACTAGTTAATGGAATTTTTTATGATTCAATAAATTAGCCAATACTGCAGTATTCATACTGTGTTCATGAAATGTAAGAAAATTTTAATCATGATTGATGTTAATGTAACTAAAAGATAAGTTAGGATGTTCATTCATTTTTGGAAAGTGCTCCATCCCTCACCACCTGGATACCTCAAACCCACAATGGGTCTGAAAAAAGGCTCTCTTAGTGCCCACAGAGTAGAAAAAGTAAAAAATCAAATATAAGCTGGAATAAATTATATAAAGTTCAACTTGTCAAACAAAACAAAACAAAAAACAAAAAAACTTTTTGGAAATGACTGGTCCCATTTTTTAATTGTATAATCTCTTACTCACACCTGAGAATAGTAGTAGTAATAGTATTTTATAATATAGTTTAGTGTATTAAATTTCTAGAAAACTGCCATTCATTTTTAATTTTTGCTATTTATGTGACTTTTTGCATGATGCATTTAAAGAAAATGACTACTTATCAACATGTTAATGTTAATATGTTTTATTTGTTTAAATACTAAGTAAAATATTTACAAAAATAAGTTTTTATGCAATAAACTTGTGCATAATAAAACTAAAAAAAAGAAAAGTGGAAAAAAATCATGCATGATACAAGGGATTGATTTTATATTATATTATCTTTTACTTAGTTCAATTAGTGACCATTGAGTTCTTTATTTATTACTTTAAATGTTCTACATAGTACATTTAACAAATAGATTATTATGATTGGAATAAATCAAGTGTTGATTCATCAACTGAATAATTGTCAAACTGTTATTCTGGGAAAGACTACAGTTTAGATAAGAATGGAGCTAATGTTCATTATCATATATACAAGAAGGAAAATACTTCTGTATTTATTATGAAGTAGAACATTATATACTAACAGTTTAAATATATATTAACTATTTGAAATTTCTGATAGTTGAAAAAAATTGCTTTATAGTTGCAACCAAGATGGATAGGATATATTTATTTAATCAGTTATTGTGGCTGCAGTCATTGTTGTTTGTCATTCTTTTCAAGGCTTTATCAGAATATCAAATTAAAACAATGTTTTAAACTTCCTTTGATCACTATCGATGTTAATAAATAACTTCCATGCACACAAAGCTAGAACTACTTAAAATAAGAAAGACACAAAACCTTTCACATGGATTAAAACTGCTAGAAACAAAGTGTGAAATGTTTTGTCTTTCTTATTTTAATAAATAAAATAAAAATAAATAAAATAAAATATCATTAACATTAATAATTGATGAAAATAATTTTATTTTATCTAGTTTGCAGACTACATGTCAAGTCTCTAGTAATATCTATTCACTAGATGAGCAGGGAAAGTTATTTTTCAAATCAGGATTAAAATTCATCAGGTTTAATAAAAATATTTTTTTAATTTTTGAAGAAAAAGCTTTAATTGTTCAAATATTGCTAAAAATCTCCAAGTTCAGTTAATTAATTAATTATCTTAAATTAAATTTGTAACATTATGTAAAAATTTTACATTATTGATTTATCATATATTTCATTCAGTTATTTCCAGTAATTATTTATACTAATTTTTATTGAAGAAGGTAAACTGAAGACTTAAGAGAAATTTCTCTTTTTTATTGACTTTTATATGAAATAAAACATGCAAACAAATCAAGATGTATAAAAGTTTCTTTTGTTTTTAAATCAGATTAAAAACAAGTATTTGAATATATTTTTGTACAAATATTCTGTTAATAAAATTTTTAATTGTAAATATTTTTAATTTCCTTAACAGGAAACAATTTAGATGATGGAATTATATATTTTTTAAATAGTAAATCTTAGATACAGCAAATCCTTTATTTAAAATAATATTAATCTACTTTGTAATTTTTAATGAAACACTCAGTTACTGACTATTTAAATATAGGTTTTACAAAAGTAAAGAATAAAAATGAATCCAAACTGATAATTTCTAATTTTTCCTGAAGAGTTTTAATTTGTATATGTTGCCTTTTTAAATACAACTAAAATATATCCCAGACTATGATTATGTTATCAACTTATTTGAATCATACTATTGAAAATTGAGACAAATTTATATTTCTAAAAATTATGTACATTTAATCATCAGTTTAACCATTAGTTTTTTTCTGTATATCAAAATTTAGAATTAGACTACTTAATTTATATGAATATATAGAAACTGATTAATAAATACATTATCGTTTCTTTCTACAACTGATGCATTGATATCCTAATTAAAAAAGTAGCTTTTTAAATAAAGCAATTAATAGTATATGAACTTACTTTCAATTTCTACTATTGAAGATGCTTGTGCAGAACCATCTCTATTTTCAGCAGTGCAAGTGTACAATCCTCTATCTTCTATTTTTGCATCTTTAATTATTAGTTGTTCTCCTTGAACCTTATAAAGAAAAAATTTAATTTATAATTATAATAAATATATTTTAATATTCTAAAATCTATTTAAAATACCTGATGTCTTGGAGTTAATTCTCCACCAACTTTACTCCAAGTGACAACAGGACCAGGAGTACCACTTGCAATACATCGTAATTCACCAATTTTACCTTGAATGATTGTCTGTCTTTCAGGCTCAATTCTTACTGATGGAGGTAACCGATCTAAAAATTACAGACAGCAATTATGAAATTTAAAAGTTCAATAATAATTTATATTATGCACAAAAATTATTATAAATTATATAAATAAATAAATTAATATTATAACATTATTATTAATATTTATTATAGTATTAATGCAAATCATAATCTAATTTATTTCAATTAAAGAAAATTAAATAATAAGTATTCCAGTCATAATTTAATGATTAACAATCTACAGTGTAGAAATGTAAAGAAATCTACATTATTTTTCTTTAATATTTTTGTCAATGCAGATATTCATCATGCACTTTACTTCAACAAATTTTAAATGTATGTTGTAAGAAGTCCATGATCTAGAATAAATTGATATCTCTTACAAATTTGATTTCACTTTCTCTTGTGACTTATTTCTTTTCATAGCCAATATTTCCTACCCAAACACCTAAACAGTTCATGTCATTTTTGCTAATTCGTTTCACAAGGTCAATAGAATATTATCATCATTTAATAAATTAGAAGAAATATATTAATCAGCATGTCTCAATAGTTTTTGTATTTAATTTTATCACAGAAGATTATTTAATTTTGTTTCTAAATGAAAAACAGGTCAATAATAGTAACCCTAGCAAAAATACAAGCCTATGTGAGCCTGAGCGTTTTGAGGGCGTAAATTTTTGAGTTCAACATATTTTTACATTAGAGGATTAAAAAAATTATCACAAGTTATAACGGAAATAGATTGGATGTCGAATCTTACACATCGACAAGATAGAAAGGAAGAAAGCAAATCATCGTCCGTTTGTTAATTAGTCAACGTGCAGGTGCTAATTAGTCATCATAATGAGTGAATGACCAGTTGGCTCAGTGCCAACGACGATTGTATAAAAACGATCGTCTCAAACAGCTCAGGGCGATCGTCCCTCCACATGATCATCAGGAAGGTCTGAGTACAAGTGTCTCCCGTCCCGGTCCTGTCCAAGGAGAAGCCGGTAGAAGACATAAGCCTGTGACAGCCAGCCAGCTTCCATAGTCCAGAATGACCATCGCATACCATCATCTGACATCATATTAAGGTATATCTAAATGCAGTAACCTTTGTAAACTCTCTCATCTCACTCTAGAAGTTAGACATGCGGCATAGTTACTAGTTAGATCACCGTTACCAATAGATTTGTGTGTTATCTGCATTTAATTATTTAATTCCTTATGTATACTCCTGTAAATTAGCTTTAGTTATATAATAAACCTTTATTTTGTTATTTGTTAAACCTGTCTCATATGTATCCGAGGAAACCTGTCGACTTACCGACGCACTCCCCACTCGTTTTGCCCTCCTAGCCATCCGAACGACTCCAAGATCGGGTTTTACCAGCCTGTGCAGATTGAGTGGTCAGTACGAGATTAACCCTGACCCCCTGCTTATCTCATGCCTATACCATCAGTTTTTAAATTTTTATAAATATAAAAAAATAAATGCTTTAAGAACAGAATACAGGTAACCCCCGTATAATACGGCACTTCTATAGCATGGATTCGCTCTAACACGGATCGAGAATTGGTACCATCCCCCGTATAACACGGTACTTTTATAGCACGGATTCACACCGACATGGTTCGAGAATTGGGTAAAACCCTCGTACAACAGGAAATGTAATAAATTTTTTCATAATTAAGTAATAATAGTTCACGAAAATTATTATTTTCGTGAACTATTAGTACTTAAGTATGTAAATTTTCTCTTCTCGCCTTCTGTCGATACACGTGGCCTTCTCAAAACTTGTTTCAATATTGCCAGATCGCGACGCTTCTGCTTCTCATGTGGCCGAATGTTTTTCCCTTATTCCATACTTGCTTTATTNTAATTATATAAAATATTTGTAATACAAACCTACGACAGCCAATCTGGCTTTATCTTCCAAATTAATGAGATCACCTTCTGTAACACTAACACAAGTATATTCACCAGCATCTTCTTTTTGTACATTGTTTATAGTTAGGATGCCATTATGAAGTGTGTGATCTGGTGACATTGGTTTACCATCAGATCTTGTCCACTTCAGAACTAAAACTTTATCAGTACCTGAAAAAGTTTATACAAACTTTAATACAATTTAATTTGTTGTTCCTTAAAAAAAAATAATTGACTATAATGATTAATAATATCATATAAATTTATAGTTAATTATTTCTCAACTGATTTTTTGGGGGTTTTGTATTAAATCAATTTAATGAATATTAGTGAGGATTCATGGAAAAAAAAATTGATATAAGATTGGTGTAATATGTAACTAGTAAATTTTTCCATCAAGAATCACAGATTATATGATGTTTAATAAAGTAAAACTAAATGAAATAACTACTAAGTACAATATTGTATCAAAGAAGTTTTGTGAGGTCATTAAATTTTTCTTCAAAAACAATATTTCATTAAGGAAACTTGTAATGACTCAAAGGAAAGCTCTACTATGTATTACAAAAGCTTATTGTACCACTCAACTAATGCATTACAAATAATTGCACAAAAGTTGCCTATAGAATAAGTAAGAAAAGCTAAAATATTTCTATTGGTACCTTTTGTATCACATATGAACAAAATTCTAGTTACTTCCAGGCCTACAGGAACAGCAAGTAATTAACAATGTTCCTCATTCACAACTCTATTTACAGATTTTCAGAGGCTTCAAAAAGGAAGGAGATGTAGGAGCAAGTTATGTAATTTTTCATAGGAATATTAAGAATCAACTAAATCTATAGGTTAAATCAAAACAGTAAATATTTCAGCTTGAAATATAGTAATCTTAAAAGTATTGAAATGGTGTGACACTCATTACAAGGATGAGTATGTACAAATATATTCTGATAGTGCCTTCACATTTATACATCACACACATGTGCAGTCGACCCCCCTATAACACTGTTGATTTTTCCGTTTTATATGAATTCCATGTTGTACGAGTCACTTAGATTTTACAAATACGTGAGCCGTTCACAGCCTGGCACACGTATTTGTAAAATCTAAGTGACTCATACAACATGGAANGATATGTAATTTGTTTTCAGAGTTATTTTTAAAAGAGTTTTTTTAATTATTATAAATTACTCATTTTGATGTTTAAGAGTAGTTTGTATAACATGATAAATTGCCATCAAAACTGTATTAAAACAATTTTTAAAGTACCATCTTTACAGGTTGAAATCAAAACCAAATTTGTTCACAATTATACTTACGAGTGGAAATTAACAATCTTGTTTGAGCTTGGGCTGTTCCATGAGAATTACTAGCAGTACATATATAAATACCTTGATGAGCTTCATTTACTCGTGGAAGTATAAGCATTCCACCAACCTAGAATGAATTCACTTCCTTGTTAAAATTGTTGTGATTAATTTTGAGAATGAATGAAAGAAATCATTCTTAATCTTTCATAAAAATTACATCTCTCTCACTTTTTAAACTGAATTTTGGCATACTTATAAAAAAAACAATTGTAGAATGATATCAAATATTCATTTAAATGCTAATAGGTTGATTTCTTTCAATTTAATAGGAAAATACATTTTTGAATATATTTGATATTCTATATCTATATATATAAAATTGCTTGTCCTGACTGACTCATTCACTCACTGATTCATCATTGCCCAGAGCAAACCGCTGAACCTAAAGAGGTGAAATTTGGTACACCGTTAGGGTATGTCATGAAAATGCTCACTAAGAAGGGATTTTTCGAAATTCCCCGGAAGGGGGGAGAGGGAGAGGATTAAGTCTTAACTGGAAAAATGGCTTCTGTACTATTTTAAATGTGATTTTTTGTTTTTATCTGCATTTTAGTAGGGTATACCATGGGAATGCACACTAAGAAGGGATTTTTCAAAATTCCCCCAAGGGGGAGAGGGAGAGGATTAAGTCTTAATCAGAAAAACGGCTTCTACTGTACTATTTTACATGCGATTTTTTGTTACATTTAGTCTTCATTAAGTACTTAAGTGTATTAAATTAATAACATTTCAGACATTGTTATAAATATTTTTATATATTTCAATTTTTTAACCAAATGTTCGAACCTTTTTAAATTCAAATTTGTTATTGCATATTGGTTCGATTATAGAACGATTGTAAATGTTCCAGAAAATTGATCAAATTGAAAATAGTTTAAAAAAATATTAAAAATATTTTTATTGCCTCTGTAAAGCGTGTGAAAGGACAAATGAAGATGGACTCAATTATATGTATAGTCCAGAAGAAATATTTTTTTTTCTACTTGTGAATTCGTCCTGGCAAATTTATTTTTAATGTATTTATTTATTTAATAATAGTGCTGGCCACCGCTAGAGGACTTTTAACTCATTTACATTGGACGGCGAACATGTAGCCTCAAATAAAAGGTCTGTATCGCCGCAAATTTGTTATTGCCTCTGTAAAGCGCGTGAAAGGACAAATGAAGATGGACTCAATCACATGTATAGTCCAGAAGAAATATATTTTTTTCTACTTGAAAATAGTTTGTTTGATTCTCAGCAATTCTCATCATTCTCGGCAGTAGGTGTTATATAACAATTACTATGGTTGTTGAAATACTGAATATAAATGGGGTTTGCTTGCAAAACCTCCGCGGGCAAAGTCGTGGGTAACAGCTAGTTGTAGCATATTTATGCAAGATGATCTGGGTATTGGATCCCTATCTAGGCTTTAAGAATAAGATTTAAACTTGAAAAAATGTATTAAAAAAAATAAAATAAATTTCTTTATAAACAAACAGTGCTTTATGATATACTTAGTTTTTCTTCATTATTGTACTTTTTATATCATTCTCTCAATTCACTCCAGAGCAAAGGCTTAGTTATGCCACTAATTCTACAGCACTTGTAAATGAATATTGTTTTCCCACTTATCAGTATAATTAATAACTGTATAATCCTCAAAATGTAATCAAATTGAAATTGTCAAATTTGAAAATGATAACAAGTAACAAAATGCCATTGACACTAGAACACTCAAAAATGCTTATGTAAATTTATTTTATTATTTAAATATTTTTGCTTAAATACAACTGCTTATAAAATGTTAACTTTTGAAATATTTCAAAAATGAATGCATGAATTCTTAAAACTATTTTTGTCTTATATACTTTAAGAGGATGTTTTGGGGTAGTTATTTTGGCACAAAGATTGAAACTAGTCTTAAAAAAAATTGATATGGCAAGCTATTATTGTTACAATATTGTAGAAAATTAAAAGTTTTGGTATATGGTCAGTCTGTGGATTCAATATCAATGGTAAAGATCATAGAAACAATCATGATGAAGCTGCACATTGATGCCAAGTTCAAAATACATCTGAATACATCCATCACACAAAAATAAAGTTTCAATTAGGCTCCCTAGTACTTACTAATATTATCTGATTTGTGAATAAAAGACTAAACTGATTATTTTTCATTTTCTAGGTAAGATATAGCCTAGTTTCGTGGTAATTATTTTACTTTACTTTTTGGATAGTTCTCTCACTTTTAGGTTTAGAATGAATTTAATTATTGATTTACTATTGCATTTTAGTTATAAGTTGTATATATTTGTTTTGTATTAATGGATATGTTGTGTGATCTTGTATGATTTTTTTGTATGTTTTCTCTTCACATCATGGTTGTACTAGTATGCTTGAATAAATAAAATAGTAAGTAGTAATCCAACTAGATGGAAAATTATTAAATCTATTAGTCTTGTGTATTAGGAAAAATGATCATGCCATAACCTCTATGCTATAATTTCATCTGTGCCAAAATGGTTGAACCAAAATATCCTAAACCATATTTTGCATGTCCATCAATGTGGAATCTAGATAATGAAGTCTGAATATTTAGATTAGATTGCCTATGAAAATTTCTGAGGTTCTGACTCAGACTTGAAATTTGGTTCTCCAAAGCAGCAGCCCAATCCTTTCATTATTTTAGCAATCCACCGAGAGATGCATAAGCTAAATTTTATATATTTTAGATTGTATTACAAAAAAATTGTTGAATATTTTATTGCTGTCATTCTACAAAAGTGATTTTTATTAATTAATTAAATTAAAACTATAATATAAATAGAATATAAACAAAGATAAAATAAAATACATTAAATATTTTTATATTTCAATTATTTGTTATTTATAATTAATTCTCATTCTTCATATAAAATTTGAAATAATTTATTAAAATCTCTATTGAACAGAATCAAAATAGAAAATAAACATCTTAGAATCTTGTTTAGTTTAATAAGACTAAAAATAAATATTGAATTATACCTGACTTGTCCCTTCTGGTAAAGTACCGCCTGAGAAAGACCATTTTATTGTTGGAGTTGGTGTTCCTGTAACCTGACAATTAAATCTAACTGTTTCACCTCTCTGAGCTTCATAATTTGATGGAGAGACAGTTAGTTGTGGTTCTTCACTAATAGTAAAGTCATCTGTAAAATATATTCAAAGAAAATTGACTGAAGTTATTAATTATTCAAGAAATATCTTGATAGAATAATAGATATGGATAATTTATTAAAATAATTATCTAACATTACATTTACTAACCTCTCTCAATAAATAAAACAGTTCTGATTGTTTCTGTTCCAGCAGAGTTTGTAGCCATGCAAAAATATTCAGCTTGATCACTTGGTCGAGCAGCAGGTATACGGAAAACTCCATCGATAAATGTAGATTGTGGATTTAATTGGTTATTTTGGCCACCATGCCAATTAAGGGTTGGCTGTGGAAATCCTTCAGCAATACAACGAAATTCAACGGACTGTCCAACTTTAACAGTCTGAAAACGAGGTTCAATGCGTACTCTTGGTGGAGTAGGTCTACCTGTACCTAAAAAGTTAAAAATATATTTTTATTGCTTGTGTATTTCAAAGAACTATATATATAGATTATATGTAGATTATTATGTAAAATGATTTTGCTTATAAAGTTAATTTGTTTTTTGTGAATGGAATCACAATTTACAATTAAATTTAGTGCTTTAAATCATTTTAATATTATATATATTTATATCAAATTGATAATTATAATTATCATCTTTTTTGTCATTTCAAGAATCAATGGTTTTCTAATTTATTTATTAGAATAATATTCATTTAACTACATAATTTCAAATTAATAAAGTATTTTAAAGTGCTAAATACCATATAGTCAGGCATTTAACCTGTGGGTTCGCTGTGTTTAAAACACAATTTGAAAGAGGATGCAGGTTCATAAATACAGACATAATTATGTAAGAAGATTGTAAATTGGAGAGACTAACTTGCACTTATACTTGTGCAAGTATAGCGAATACATTAAAATGAGCTATACAAAGGTTTTATTTTTGTTAAAATTAAGCTTAATAATAAAATAAAATTTCAAAAATAAAAACATAACAGTCTTCAGGAAATATTGGTTTAAAAATGCACAATATTTCATTTTTATACAGGGTGATTCAGCTAAGCATGTACAGTACAAATTCTGGGAGAGGTAGATTGCACAAAGACAAATCGGAATTATATAGCAATACCAAGTCATAAACACCATCTTCATGTGCTAGTGTATAGAAAAGATGAAATGAAAAAGCAGCACATAAGAGAAAATGCTTCTTATTATTCAAAGACATTCATTGTGAAGTGTATTGAGGTTACAGGTGTTCAAAGTTGTGACCACGAACTGTAACACATACTTGACATCACTGACATAGGGACTCGTGTACATTTTGGAAAATTCTTGGCGTCTCATTCTTCCAAAGCAGCTACAGATATGTATGCTACAAGGACCTCATCATTTTCAACAGGGGTGTTGTAAACCAGTCCTGTAATGTAACCCCAGAAGAAGTAATCAAGACATGTTAAGTCTGGCAATCATGGAGGCCAATGAATAGGACCACCATGTTTAAATGATAATGAATGTCATTGCTGAAATGGGCAGAGGCCCCAATTTGTTGGAACCACATTGCACAATGCAGTGACTGAGGAGCTTATTGTTTGTGAATTACTCTGGCAAGATGTCCTCCAGAAATATCCAAATGGCATGACAGGACATCGCATTGCTATATAATTCCGATTTGTCTTTGAGCAACCTACTCCTCCCAGAAGTTTGTACACACTTAGCTGAATCATCCTGTATAATAAAAGAAAACTGTTTAATAGACAATTAAACATTCACAGTTAAATGTATTTTTCCTTCATTGATGATCTGATTACAAAATTAAATATCAAACTTTCTCATATGATATTTTAAAATGTAAATTAGCTTCTATATTCAAATTTGAATGCAAATATTTTAAGTTCCAATCAAAGCACTAAATATTAAATAAATTTCAGGCTATATTGACAGCAAAGCCAGTGCCTTTTTTAGTAAGAGCACTGAGCAAACACTGCTATTCTGTATATGTAATGATTAAGTCAAACAGTACCTAGCTCAGTCTTAAAATATCTTTCCTATATACCAGATGTGTCAAACTCATTTAAATAATGGGCCATTAATGCAACTGATAAGATTCACACAGGCCACATCACTTTTCAAATTATAATTTTAAGAAAATTTGTAAGTGAGAATGCAGGAATATAGATGGGACAATTAAAACATATTATGTAGTTCAGTGAATTCAACTCAACAATATATAATTGCTATAGTATTGCTTTTATTTAAACATTTATTTTATTTAATGTACATATTTATAAAACTAAAATTAATTGTTTTCACTGGAAACTTGCCAGTGCTATCTTCCTCCTCCTAGTTTTCCAATATCTGGCTTCAAAGACTGAGAAAAATCTTTATTATGGAAGATAGATGTTTATCAATTAATCTTAATCTGTCAGCCGTTTTATTTAATTTCAGAGCATTCAGAGCAGAAAAATCACATTGGGGACTGCCAATTTGACATACTTTCATCCTATATGTCTAAAAAATAAATTCTCTTTCAACACCTGTTCCATTTTTAATTTTCATTCTACAGTCTTATCTGAAAATCTTTCTATAAAGCTAAAAGTCTGTATTAATTCGTTTATTTGACTTTCATTTATAACAAATTGAAAATGTTGGGTAACATTTTCAATTTGATTGCAAGATTTGATTTTTTAAAGAATTAAAATTTCTGATCCTGAAATTCTCAGAACAAAATTTTCAAGAAATTAAATTTTTTTTCCCAATATAAGAAAAATTTTATAAGATTTGAGACTTTTATAAAATTAAATTTAAAAATATAAAACAAATGTGTTGAATTTATTATAATTTTAAAATTCAGTAAAATGAATATNCTGTTGTAACATTATTGTTTTACTTTGTAACGGTATGTTCTAATTATACTTTGTATTTATATATATAACTTGGCATGTAAAACTCTTCTTGTAAAAAAACTTGCAAACTTCTATGTATCAACCAATTGCTGTTAGTACATAGTACTATCTATGTTTGTAAATCAACAAATGTGCTTAATTATCAAGAATAGTCATGTAAAATCAAAACATATACCTGCAATTTTACAACGATACTGTACTGTTATTTTATGTCTGTAAAACCAACTAACAAATATATTGTATTATAATACCTGATTACAGAGCCGTAACTAGGCAGGTGCAACAGGTGCACCCGCACAGGGCCCACTTGGAAGGGGGGGGCCAAAACNAGTTAGTTGTGGTTCTTCACTAATAGTAAAGTCATCTGTAAAATATATTCAAAGAAAATTGACTGAAGTTATTAATTATTCAAGAAATATCTTGATAGAATAATAGATATGGATAATTTATTAAAATAATTATCTAACATTACATTTACTAACCTCTCTCAATAAATAAAACAGTTCTGATTGTTTCTGTTCCAGCAGAGTTTGTAGCCATGCAAAAATATTCAGCTTGATCACTTGGTCGAGCAGCAGGTATACGGAAAACTCCATCGATAAATGTAGATTGTGGATTTAATTGGTTATTTTGGCCACCATGCCAATTAAGGGTTGGCTGTGGAAATCCTTCAGCAATACAACGAAATTCAACGGACTGTCCAACTTTAACAGTCTGAAAACGAGGTTCAATGCGTACTCTTGGTGGAGTAGGTCTACCTGTACCTAAAAAGTTAAAAATATATTTTTATTGCTTGTGTATTTCAAAGAACTATATATATAGATTATATGTAGATTATTATGTAAAATGATTTTGCTTATAAAGTTAATTTGTTTTTTGTGAATGGAATCACAATTTACAATTAAATTTAGTGCTTTAAATCATTTTAATATTATATATATTTATATCAAATTGATAATTATAATTATCATCTTTTTTGTCATTTCAAGAATCAATGGTTTTCTAATTTATTTATTAGAATAATATTCATTTAACTACATAATTTCAAATTAATAAAGTATTTTAAAGTGCTAAATACCATATAGTCAGGCATTTAACCTGTGGGTTCGCTGTGTTTAAAACACAATTTGAAAGAGGATGCAGGTTCATAAATACAGACATAATTATGTAAGAAGATTGTAAATTGGAGAGACTAACTTGCACTTATACTTGTGCAAGTATAGCGAATACATTAAAATGAGCTATACAAAGGTTTTATTTTTGTTAAAATTAAGCTTAATAATAAAATAAAATTTCAAAAATAAAAACATAACAGTCTTCAGGAAATATTGGTTTAAAAATGCACAATATTTCATTTTTATACAGGGTGATTCAGCTAAGCATGTACAGTACAAATTCTGGGAGAGGTAGATTGCACAAAGACAAATCGGAATTATATAGCAATACCAAGTCATAAACACCATCTTCATGTGCTAGTGTATAGAAAAGATGAAATGAAAAAGCAGCACATAAGAGAAAATGCTTCTTATTATTCAAAGACATTCATTGTGAAGTGTATTGAGGTTACAGGTGTTCAAAGTTGTGACCACGAACTGTAACACATACTTGACATCACTGACATAGGGACTCGTGTACATTTTGGAAAATTCTTGGCGTCTCATTCTTCCAAAGCAGCTACAGATATGTATGCTACAAGGACCTCATCATTTTCAACAGGGGTGTTGTAAACCAGTCCTGTAATGTAACCCCAGAAGAAGTAATCAAGACATGTTAAGTCTGGCAATCATGGAGGCCAATGAATAGGACCACCATGTTTAAATGATAATGAATGTCATTGCTGAAATGGGCAGAGGCCCCAATTTGTTGGAACCACATTGCACAATGCAGTGACTGAGGAGCTTATTGTTTGTGAATTACTCTGGCAAGATGTCCTCCAGAAATATCCAAATGGCATGACAGGACATCGCATTGCTATATAATTCCGATTTGTCTTTGAGCAACCTACTCCTCCCAGAAGTTTGTACACACTTAGCTGAATCATCCTGTATAATAAAAGAAAACTGTTTAATAGACAATTAAACATTCACAGTTAAATGTATTTTTCCTTCATTGATGATCTGATTACAAAATTAAATATCAAACTTTCTCATATGATATTTTAAAATGTAAATTAGCTTCTATATTCAAATTTGAATGCAAATATTTTAAGTTCCAATCAAAGCACTAAATATTAAATAAATTTCAGGCTATATTGACAGCAAAGCCAGTGCCTTTTTTAGTAAGAGCACTGAGCAAACACTGCTATTCTGTATATGTAATGATTAAGTCAAACAGTACCTAGCTCAGTCTTAAAATATCTTTCCTATATACCAGATGTGTCAAACTCATTTAAATAATGGGCCATTAATGCAACTGATAAAATTCACACAGGCCACATCACTTTTCAAATTATAATTTTAAGAAAATTTGTAAGTGAGAATGCAGGAATATAGATGGGACAATTAAAACATATTATGTAGTTCAGTGAATTCAACTCAACAATATATAATTGCTATAGTATTGCTTTTATTTAAACATTTATTTTATTTAATGTACATATTTATAAAACTAAAATTAATTGTTTTCACTGGAAACTTGCCAGTGCTATCTTCCTCCTCCTAGTTTTCCAATATCTGGCTTCAAAGACTGAGAAAAATCTTTATTATGGAAGATAGATGTTTATCAATTAATCTTAATCTGTCAGCCGTTTTATTTAATTTCAGAGCATTCAGAGCAGAAAAATCACATTGGGGACTGCCAATTTGACATACTTTCATCCTATATGTCTAAAAAATAAATTCTCTTTCAACACCTGTTCCATTTTTAATTTTCATTCTACAGTCTTATCTGAAAATCTTTCTATAAAGCTAAAAGTCTGTATTAATTCGTTTATTTGACTTTCATTTATAACAAATTGAAAATGTTGGGTAACATTTTCAATTTGATTGCAAGATTTGATTTTTTAAAGAATTAAAATTTCTGATCCTGAAATTCTCAGAACAAAATTTTCAAGAAATTAAATTTTTTTTCCCAATATAAGAAAAATTTTATAAGATTTGAGACTTTTATAAAATTAAATTTAAAAATATAAAACAAATGTGTTGAATTTATTATAATTTTAAAATTCAGTAAAATGAATATTATATCATGGTAATAAAATTTTAATCATTGTCTAAGTAATGAAACTATTCAATTGCTGCAATAAATATAATGTTTAAAAAATGACCAGGGCAATAATTGTATAATAAATTTAGAAAATGGCCAGGACATTTTTGTTTAATCGACATTATATTTTTTATTTGTGCTATCACCAGAATAAAGTTTTTATAACATTTTGCATAGTGATGAGAACAATCAGCCTCTAACAAAAGGTTGAGTCTGCCATAAGACTTGTTTCCTGATGTGTGAGAAAGGACAAAAGAAGACTTAAATATAATGTTTTAAATATTATGTATTAAAATTATATGACAATTTAAGTTATTTATTATTATGTAATGATGCCATTATATATACACACTAGGTCACAAAAATATCTGAACACCTATAAAATGGAAGTTTTTTAGTTATCACTCATTTATTGCTTGAAATAGGAAAAAATAATGACAGATGTAAAATTTTCAGATGTTTTTCACATTAGAAAACGTATTTACATGTACAAAAACATTCATCAAAAAGAGAAATATATTTTAAAACTAGATATTTTTGTGATGTAAAAATTTTCAGACAAGAAATAATAATAAAATATTTTATACATTTAAGAATGAGTTGTGCCTTCTTTTCCTCTGATGATAACTAAGCATTGATTCATCCAAATTTTTATAACAGTTTTATCTATTAAATTCAAAACTCTGATGATGTTTTTAAGATCAACTTTGTTTGTTATTGATTCTGTTCTGATTGTTCATTCAATGTGATCTTATAAATGCTGAATTAGGTTGAGGTCAAGTGATTGTGGAGGCCAAGGAAGCACTTTTATACAGTGCATATCAAGAAACTGACAATGATCGAAAGCACACTTTGAAAATCAGTCATGCTGGAAAACAAACCCTTGATATCTTACCCTAATTTTAATTTTCTTACTGATTTCTGAACATTATTTAAAATCTATTTATACACATATTGATTCATTATTCCATCAACAAATTGCAGAGTTCCAACCAGGGCTGTGGAATTGTAAAAAAACACTCAACTCCGACTCCTGATAATTTTAGTAGGCCAATTCTGGCAAAATTAAAAACCAAAGAACAGTCATTTTATGGGGGACAGAGGCATTCATAGGGGGTACCCTACTCTGAAAGGAGCCCAGGGCATTTACCCAAATACTTTTATAGTTAGTATTTTTAATATTTAACTTACATTAATATTTATTTGTATAAAAAAATTAATTTTTAACAAAAGGATAAGATGATAAGAAGAAAAAGGGGTGTGATAAAATTCAACATCTACATATCTTTATTCTACAACATTTCTGGAAAGGTGAAATTGATGTGAAAAAGTTAGTTCAATGCATGATCTAGCTACTTCAGCTCCTTGTTCAGAAAAGAAAAATATATACTCTGTAGTTAAGTAAGTTAGTCTTGCTAATTCAGAAAAATAGAGTGCTCATTTAGAGCAGGGATAATAATTGAATTTGAATATTTTTGAATCATTCTTTAAGTCAAAACAATTTAACTACTAACACAAGTACTACAAAGAAAACTATATATTTAATAAATCAAATTGTTGCATTTTGTATTTAAAATAAATGAATTATAACAAAATACAAAAACATTTTAAAAAATTATTAAATATAAAATAAATTTTCTTTCATTTAAATAGAAAACTAAATTAAATTTGAAATGCTGGAGTCGGAGTTGACATATTTTTCCTGAGACTGACTCCTCTGGCCAGAAATCCCTCCTGACTCCAACTCCACAGCCCTGGTTCCAACACTATTTGCAGACATACAACTCCAAATAGCACTAAACTGACTCTACATTTCACTAAATCCCTAATCCCATCTCAATATTTTTGCACATGTAAATATTTTTTCTAGTGTAAAAATGTCTGAAGATTTCACAACTTTCTATTTTATGCGAGAAATGAGTTATAACTAAACAACTCTTCCATTTTAAAGGTGTCTGAATACTTTTGTGATTTAGTGTATGTCTATAAACTAAATTCAGCACAACAGCTACAGATAATAGGCCTAGAGATATTGAGATATTTATTATGTCTATTACTTTGACCTCTCTGAATCAGTTTATTCACACAATCATCCTTATCTTCATGTTGTTCGTTAGCTTGTAATAGTCTAAAATATTATTTGAAAAAAATATTTTATTTTTTACATTATTTCTGTAAATATAAATTATGACAAAATTTTGTATTATTTATTCATTACTTATTAATTTCCCTCTTATATAAAACTTATACTTATATCAATGAAAAAAAAAACTTTGTAAAAAAACTCATATGAAACTAGAAATAATGATATACATCATAAGAGGGTAATTAATAAGTAATGAAGAAATTGTATAAGTTATGTCAAAATTTTATACTAAATTATTTCTTCAAATAATCAAGGATTTTATATCTAAAATAATTTTATAAGATTTCTGGGTTTACCTAATATGTAATAATTTTTCTATTCCTGATACTTAAAAAAAAGTCAAGTTATTGATATTCCTAGAATTTTGATTTTTAAATTAGGACATTGATCTTTAAATTATTATCATATCATCCAAAGTCCTGTTATTAACATCTTAAACAATAGATTTTCATTTATTATGAAAGAAAGATACTTTGTAATAAAACTTGCTACAGAACAAGTAGTGTTAAATCTGATGTTATACAACTGGTTAATTTGTAACAATACCTTCAACTGTTAAAGTAGCTCTTTCTTGAGCAACACTTGTTAAATCAGATGCAGTACAAATATACACGCCAGTATCTTCTGGTCTGACATTTGTTATAGTAAGAACTCCACTTGCTTCTGTTGCCTGGCTTGGCATTACACCGCCTTCTTTTGTCCACACCAGTTGGTATACAGCCTGATTTCAATTAAAAGCTTTTAATAAAATTTCAATTAAAATATGATATATAACTGCAAATTAATGGAATATTTACATCACTGCTCTGACTGCTAGCAGAACATCTAAATGATACAGTTGCACCAACTGGAACTCTCTGATTTCTTGAATCTTCAATTTTAACCTGAATTGCTGGTCTGACACCTAAGAAAATTTTAACAACAAATTAAAAATTGGAAATTTATAAGCTGTTGAAATAAATATAAGATACTTGGCAAAACTGCTTAGCAAATTTTAGCAAAATTTTATGTAGTAATAATACAGTATATGATGTATTATCAAATTCATAACTTCTGTATTTTAATGTTCTAGTTATTGCTCCTATTTAGGATACATACTTCCTCTCTTTCAGAACTAATCAAAGATATATTATAGACTCCATTTGTACATAAATGAAAATGAAAAAATAGTTAATGTTTTCACTGCCATCCATCGAAAGATGAAATTTCATTGAGTATTCCAATTTGTTTTTTTCATGAAACATGCCATTGTTTCAAAAAATAAAAAAAAAAATTGTTGTTTTCATTTTAAACAATCTTTATGGAATTATATGCGATGATTAAGTCATTGGCACTTACTCAAGGACATAAATGATGAAAAATTACTATAATTAAATATGTCCTGGAAAAGTAAGGAGTCAAGCAATAAAATATAATCTTGAATATGTTATTACTATCTGGAATTGGAAGAAATAACATCCAAAAAAATAATGCGCACACAATTTACCAAAAATTTCCAGCATCTGAATGATATAATGTACTAATGATGTGATTTTGCGACAAATATAAGCATATGGCTGACAGCCATGAGAGCTTCATAATATTTTGTATTTATTAATTTTAGTTAGTCTTAGCCTTTTCTTTGTTCCTTTGTCTTCACTTTTTCTAGAACTTTCCTTTTCAACCCTTTTCCCTTGGGTGGGGTTGTGAAAGTGCACGAAATTATAATTCACCACGAAGGCAGACAGGATAAAAAATTTTATATATAATTCCAATTGAACAATTTCGCGTCTTTGTTACAGATTGATTCTCTTTCGAGGGATTCCAACTTCACAGTACTGTACAAGCAGTAGCAGGTGCTAAACTAAACTACAGCAATAATAATTGATCGTGGTATTTACAGCACGTATAATACAGATCCTGATCACGACAATATATATATATATATATCCCAAAACCTTAAAACTAACCTTAAACACTAACTTAACACTAATAGAAAAAAAGGGATAGAATTAAGAAGACAGAAAAAGTAGCATAGCAGACAGAAATAGTGATACCCGGGATTTTGTTTGTTTTTTGGTTTATTTCTTTATGTGTACCTTCGGGTGGGATAACACACATCCTTCCTTCTATAATTGGCCCATTGTCTTCTTTTTTTTTACACTTTGAATTTTTTTCTACAGTCGTCTTTATGACCTTAAAGCAGGATCTTCCTCTTAACTTAATTCCAAAATCTTAGGTCATTTATATTGCAACTTGAAGTATTCTTTGGTCATTGATATCGTGACTTGAAGTATTCTCACTACATCTGTTCACTTCACCGTCTGGCCCAAGAAAATGCCCTACCACCATCTCCTTTCACCTCCAGGTCCTGTTTTTTTCCTTTGTTCTTCACAATTCTAGGAACACGTAATCCCACCCAAGGGACAGGGGAAGATAAGAAGGTTCTAGAAGAAAATAGAACAAAGGGCAGAAAGAAGAGACTAAACTAAACTTAAATTAATATGTACAAAAATATAGCATACAGTTACAAGATTACCGATTCCAAGAAATTAGTAAGACAAAAGAAGAAGTAAGGCCCTGGGGCCAAGAAAATGGGGGGAGAAGCAGTTTGGGCTTGAATTCCAAAGACTAAGGATGGAGAAGAGGTAGTGCTCCAGATTGAGTATAAGACGATTGGAGACTATGAGGAGCCAAGGAATCGATAGGAAGGAATTCCTATAAGAGAACTTTGAAGGAAGCTATTGAAAGAATCATATGAAAGGTCTACAGGAAGGATGGGAAATAACATTTCAAGGAAAGCTCCAAAGTGGTGTCCCACCCAAGATTACAAACTCAAGAAAATCATGGGTATTTCCATCTTCCTCGTATACTATTCTTATTCATCTACTCTTCTTCCTTCTTTAGTTGTAAGTAGTATAAGTATTAGTTATAAGTTTCGCCCACATATAGTTGTCGCGCTCAATTAACTCGCTGTTTGTTAGATTAAATTTTAATGCCTACGTGTACAGAAACCAAGTAGTGTTGAGATCCAAAAGAAAAAAGAACCTGTTCAAAGCGATAATAAATTACTTTGTGTTGAAAAATCTAATGAGTATTTATTTGTATCAGTTCACTCACGGGACCTTGTACTTGTTGCAATGAACATCACACTATCTTTGAAATAAGTAGTAATGATGAAACAGAAAAGATGACATTACTAGCAGACTTTAGGCATACATGTATGCTGACTTGTTGATTGAATTAATTAGAATTTTTGAAATAGACATAGTTGGAAATTGATTAGAAATGGCTTTAAGATCACAGCATTACTGAACTTGACTAATTTTGACTATTAGTAAACATGCCAGTTTGCTATATATCACCATGTTGTAATAAATAGTCAAGTTTTTTACCAGCAATAAGAGTTTAATGAAAAAGCACTTTTGTTCCTCAATAGGATCATAATCTTATCACAAGTTTGATTTTTGTGTAATGTGAGGATTGAAAGTACTTGTCATTAAAAGTTATTGATTATTATTAGATTTTAAAAAAAATTGTCACTAGAAGTAAAAGTCAGTTAGTAATCAATTAAAAAATAGATATATTTTATTATTAATCTGCTAAATTTAGTTTAATATATTAATACTTTTTAAGCTTTCTCTTATCCATAGAGATGATAATCTAGCAATACACTCAGATTGAGTGAGTTCAAATGAATAATTCAAACATTCATTCAATTATCATAAATCAATCTGTATACAAATTAAATTTTATTCATCTTTTTAAAAATAACTTTTATTGTCTTACTAAAAAGTTCTATAACATCAAACTTTTCTCTAGAAATTAAAATGCTAAAAAATTAATTATAAATTTTCCTGATTTTTCAAAATATATTATTAAATTTGATCTGTTTTTAAAATTTGTCAAAATTTGTAAAGCAGTTTTAATGTTGCAAATATTTCAACATTTTTAATAATTAAGATAGATATTAAAATTTTAACCTCCTGGTATTTCACATCTACCACCAGGTTGAATGGGATTTCCTCTATATCCTGATGAGCATCTATAAAGTTATAATATATAAAATTAATATTTAAAGTATATATAATAACTTCAAAATGTTTATATTTATTTCAAGTTACCTTTCACAATTTCTTCCTGTGTATCCCAAAGGACAAGCATTGCAGGTTGGCTGACCATCAGTATCAAGGAAACAAGTTGGAGAGAATCTAAAAATCATTTATCATCTTAAAGTTGAATAATTGCATATAACAATTATAATCATTAAAATTTAATTATTGCATCAACTCCATATCCCTCTCTCCCTGGGAGAGATTAAAACATTTTTTATTACAATTAAATCTATATATTAAAATTAAATTTTTAATTTTAAGTTTCCAAATGATTTTTTAATCAAATTACAGGATATATCAAATTTCACTTATATTTTGCAGAAAAAGTTATCACAACAGAAGGATAAAAATCCATTCTAAACTTATGTGATTTTATTATTATTATTATTATTAGAATGTTAATAGCTGATTAAATTAATAAATTATATTAAAATTATCTAATAATGCTAAATTTATTTACTATTTTAAATTAACTGATACGACAAAATATTTTAAAAACTAAATCAGACAGATAGTGAAACCTGCATAAAATCTATTTTACAACATGCCTTCGATTTTGGATTTCTGTAACTTTTTTGAGAGATTAAAACTTTGTAATTTAACAAATTATTCAGCAATCTTATTAAAAATCTTATAAGTTATTTTTGATTATAAACAAACATAATATATTCATCATTTTCTAAAGTCTGTTGTAACTATAGGACTGCATTTTGTAAATTACAATCTTCATGCTTACACAGTAACATTTTACTTATAAGTTTATTTAATAAAAATTAAATTATTACTGATTTGATGGTGTAGTTAGTGGACATGGACAAGGTTTACAGTCTTCAGGAGTGCCTCTCGTGGAATCTCCATAATAACCATCTATGCATCGTTCACAGTTGTCTCCCATAGTATTATGTCTGCATCTCTGAAATATATATATTTAAAAATTATTTTATAATATATAATAGTCTGAAAATTTTCTCATTGATAAATTGACTGTTACTCAGTGAGTGAATTGCTCCTAATGCCATTCTCAATTCGGGATGATGATATATTTAATACTCAATTTGTAACATTTATATTATAAAATTTCTGCTTAATAATTTTCTTATCCAGGCTTGTAATATAAGCTTATTTCTGCTAAAAATATTTACAGGAGTCTGGCATGTATGAGTTAAACTGTAGTTAGTAATCTGTTCTGAATGCCACTTACAATTTGTCTTTTGTTTGTGAAACATGGTCTTGCTTTCAGTGTAAAAAACAACCATATTCATAGCAAATAGATGTAAATAGTTAGTAGTTGGCATCCAAAACAATATTGAAAAATAAGCTATGGTACCAGACAATAAAACAATTGAAATATAAAATCATGAAAATATTCTCTTATTTTTCTGAAGAAATAATGTGCTTATTTGATAATATTTTGTTAAAATGCTTCTCCTTACTAAGAGCCGGTTTCTCATGGGACACTGGATAATAATAGTGTTTTTCACAGCAACTTTTTCAGCATATTCAGTATAGCCTCTAAATAATGAAATTCATCTTCAGTCCTAATTCTTTTTTTAGTATTTGGCATTTTTTCTCCAACCAAACATTCTAATAATTTTTTCTTTGAATTTCAGACTTTCTAAGGTCGTGAAACCAGTTATTTGACAGACAGGAATGTATAATTATTTCCAGATTATGTAATGCAATGCAATTTTTTTATTCATATGATTGTTTGGTATTATCTAAGAAAAACAATTCTGCCAGATAACATAAGGCATATTATGGCTACATTTATTGGATTATTAGATATTTATATTTGTTTTTCTTAGCACTAAACAATAAGAAGCCATTTGATCTTATTCATTAATCTATGCCACACATTCATGTCAATATTAACACAAATGTCTGGCATAGATTGTATGGTATGCTATATATGGCTATAGATTGGTGGTCAACATATTTGAACAATTTAAAAATTTTGTTGATGTTTTAGAGTAGCACATATTAATCAAATAGAATGCAGATAAAATTTTATTTTGAATTTTTACTATATTGATACAATTTTATTGTTAGAAGATAGTAGGGATACTGATTCAATCTCCTCTGTTAGGAGTGATAGCAGAGTTAGTAATGCAGAAATTGGAAATGATTCAGAGATTTTATGATATTATTATTTACAACAAAAGCTATGTGGATGATTATTTAATTATTTGGAAGAATGATTGGCTGCAATTTGAAAAAATTGTACACCTATACATTCTCACTGTTATCCATCCATCTGTCTTTCCTTAATCTTGAGAATGGACTTGGATAGATGAAAGACAAGACTAGATATAGAAACCTTAGGGGCAGGAGATCCCGATTAACTATATAAGAATTTCCAATGCAAACCAAAAGTCATGTTGTTTAAGTTCAAAAATTTTCCCCTGAAACTTTATTGTTAAAAGGAAAAGTATGATGTGCAGGGACAAGCCACTACTAATTTGAGATGGAGAGCGCACATTTTTTATCTATTTAATTTAAATTATGATTAAAAATTGCAGCTTGACACTGTGATGATGTCACAATAAATAACTTTCTCAAGGATATTTATAAAAATGACCTTGGACTGATTTTAAAAGTAGAGAGATGAGGTAAAAAGATCATCTCTATAGTTACTTTCAGATAATTTAGGGATAGAATAAATACTGAAGTATATAGAAAAACAGTAAAGGAGTCATTGATAAAATTTGGATAGTAGTTATTAAAAAAGAATGAGCAATTACTTGTTGTGACATCATAACAATGCCAGGCTGAAATTTTTAATTTATTTAAAATTAAACCACAAATTAGTACTGTAGTGTCTTGCCCCTGCACATAATACTTTTCCATTAGGAAGATGACCAGCATGATTCCATTGCTAACTCCTTTCAGGGAAAAATTTTTTAATTGAAATAACATGACTTCAGGTTTGCATCAGAAGTTTGTATATAGTTAATCAAGAACTCCTGCCCTAAGTTTTCTACATCTAGTCTTGAATTTCATTTATCTAACATTGTTTGAGATTAGGGAAAGACAGACAACAGTGGGAATTTATAGGTGTACAATTTTTAAATTGCAGCCCAATGAGAGGAAAGGGAAAAGATTGAAAAAGATGAAATAGTTTTGACTTAATAGTACTACCATAATTGCATGCAGATAACGCATGGTGATACATATATAAACAACAATGCCTGAATATTCTATAATAAATCATTAAATGTAAGATAATTTATTATAAAAATAGGAAGATAGCAGTCTAAGTACTTAATATTCATACTAGATAGTGGTCAACATCCTAAGTTTAATAATAAAAATTACAATAATTTTTTGAATTATTGTAATTTTTATTATTAAATTTAATATTCGTACTAGACAGTGGTCAACATCCTACCTTAATAATTAATGTAAAATAATTTATCAAAATATAGCCTAAATAATCTGGTATTAGATGATTTAATCCATTATTATTTATTTTTTATTACAATATCTACAATCAGAAAATAGGCAATAAGCTGCTGATAATAATAATAATAAATGCTAAAATAAACTTGGAAAAAAATAGAAAACAATTTTAATATCAATAAAATCCAATGTGACATGGATTGGAGAGTTAATTACTCAGCTATTAAATTTATTTCAAAAAATGAAGCAATAAAGTAAAATGATAATTATATCATATTTGGTGTGAATTCAGTTGACAATATGTTGGAAATATTATTGTGTATAAACAAAAAAATAGTCTTAGCTTGACTGTTCAATATTTTAAAATTTATACAATAAAAAAAATGAGTTAATATACAATAAACTTGACATCCTGAAATGATAGCTTTATATATAGAGTGGATTGATGCAGAGCAAATGAATTGAATAAATCTAAAATCTAGGTATGTACTGTACATATATGGTTTCAAGAAAAATCACAATGGTAGATGAATATGTCTGTAGTGTAACAAGGATTTTCATATTTTCTAAAGATGATCTTCAAGACTTTAGATAGAAAAAAAGCTGTTTTTTGAATTTGCTTCATATCTGGTTGTTGTCTGTTAGTTTTATTAATGGCTATACAGTAGATCCCCCTATAAAACTGTTACCTATAGTTATGATTCCTATAAGACAGCAAAAAAATTGTGGCGGTATCCGTACACAATGGTAAAAAAACTCCTATAATTATGTAAAACGTCATCGGGCAGCCGAACTACTTTCCCACCATCCGTAGCGCCACGCTACAGACGTTTAGGCAGGTAAATTGAGTTTAGTTTCATCTGTACATATAATTATATATAAATTAGGCACTATATATATAATTATATATTAACTTAATTTATTGTAACTTTATTATAATTATATATATACTTTCTGCTATCCAGCGCCACACTATAGAGAGTTTAGGCGAGTAAGTTGAGT